TTCTGCAGAAATTGCTGAACTCACGTGTGTAACAAATATCCCCACTCCATAAACGCCGGGAGTCGGGAGAAATGAGGTGAGACGGGATGATAGGAAACCCACCGTTTAGACTGTTATCTTTATCTGAGTTTTAACACACGCGACTCAAAAACCTCTCGAGTTTTTTTTTCCCCCCGTAGCAAAAGTTCAGGGCAATTACAGTTGTGGCATCTCAACAGATGTGTGTGTGTGTGTGTGTGTGGGGGAGGGGGTGGGGAGAGGAACTACGACTAACCAAGAAAATGTGGGGTAGCAATTCTGAAACGAATGCATTCCCACCTTTCTAAGAACCTACTATTTGTACAATTATATGGATGAAAGCAGAATTAATGCAGTCTCTCTCTCTCTCTCTGTGTGTGTGTGTGTGTGTAGACATTGTCCTATGGTCGAGGAATACGATAATGGACGATGCACAGAAAGAATCTGCAGGAGACACACACACACACACACACATGTAGAGTGTTTGAAACGAGCAGCCCGACGTGTGGAAGGAAGACTGAGACAGTTTCAGTGTTCGCACTCAGTGCCATCGACTGTCAGTCACTCTGTAGAAATATAACTTGCACAGTGGAAGCGATCAGTGCAAACACCGAGAGAGGCAAATTGCGATTTTTTCTCTCTCTCTCTCTCCATTTCTTTTAACAGCACCAACACACAGAGGTCTAAAAGCCTGAGATACGTGTTCGATATTGAATCTGGAAAATAAACACTCGTCCTGGACGTTACAGTACTGTACAGCCGAATTATTTATAATGGAAAGTGAATTGCTAAAATGTAAACCATTGCAAGTACGTCAATATTAGACGAAGAAGAATTTATTCATTGTACTGGAAACAACGTTCCTATGGATTTGTGTAACGATGTCATGGGTTAGGGAAATGATTTATCTGGATAACCTGAATAAAGATCACTAATTTAGTAAAAGATGGTTCACCACCACTGCCAAACTTCTGACACGTGGCAGAAACCGTACAATGTGAAGTTTACTTCTGGTTGTGTGAGTAACACTTGCGTTTAATTTTTGTCAAATAATTACAAATGCAGACAAGCAAATGCAGTTAAGTGTCGGTGATTTAATTGCTCAAGGAACGGGTAACGCTGCCCTCTACAGGGTAAACGTTACAAGTATCTGTCTCTTCTTTCGTGTGAATTCATTCGCCCAAACGATACCACGATTCTGTTTGTAATTTATGGTACCGACCTAAATCGAGCTCCTGATAGAACAAAATAATTGTATTGCATGCACGTTTGCTGGATAGATTAATCGTGCACTGGATTTCTTTTAAAAAATGGTCAATTGAGTCTCACCAGAGTGTGTCACATAAATCAGAGTAATTTTCCTCTCGTTGCTAAGTGCAGCGAATTTGACAATGTGGTGGTGGGATTTCTCGCCCCTGTGACTCCCACAGTGACACACGTGTGCGTTATCCAACATTAGTTTGAATCACAAAACCCCACTTTTAAAACATAGCTCTTCAAAGAGGTTCAGTCTGTTAATGAATTTAAATCAGATAAGGCATCAAGTGCGCAACAAACCTGATTTTTTTTAAAAAAAATAGCAGAATTGTAATAAAACAAGGGAAATCTACTTTTGAGTCGAATACCTGTTTAACCAGATTCCACTGTACATTTCGAAATGGATCAAAGACATCATAATTGACTAAAGCGTATTTGTTGCTGAATTCTTTTCACAGTAAGTGGTTGGGATGCGGAATTCTCTGCCACACTGTTGTTGAAGCTGAGCTGACAAAACTTTTTATTTAAGAAAGGCAATTCACAGACAGACATACGAAAAGGAAGAATTTTAAAAGGTGGAAAAACAAGTAGTAGGTTTGGCGTAGACATTTCACCCACAAAGTACACTTAACAATCAATTCACTTTACAGTATATCCGGTGAAGCGCTTTGAGACTTCTCAACAACATGATAATGAGTTCTTTGCAATGCCTTGAAACATCTTCCCGATGTGAAAGGCACTATAGAAATGTAATTTGTTGTTGTTAAGGCCTTATATCGAATGCAAGGATTATTATTATTAAATTGCTCATGCGGAGATTAACCACGGGACAAATGTTGATCGCTCTTTCTCCAAACGTACAAAGAAAACCTTAATATTTTCTCCTTCTCTTGTGAAATCATCCTGGAGTTCAGATCTTTGGATTCTAACAGCCTTCCAGAACAGTACCTCAATCATACATTTTGTCCATCGTTGAAATAGAGTAAACTGACTTCAATTCCAACTTTGATCATCACCAATAGAAACAGAACATGACTGACTGACCACTCATATTAACAATAGGAGTTGTTGATTTTTGCATTCATATATCAAAGTTATACACATATCAACCATAACGTATCAACCGATATTTTAGCCCCCTCCCTCTAAACTTAAACTCTTATCTTATCCTTACAATGGATGTACAAATGTCACAAGACAATTAATTCAAAACACAAAAGTAAAATCTGAGACTGTTCGCTAAAACGTGCCTTTGTATTATTCAAAAGGGTGATTATATTGTGGAGGATATTCATTCTAGTGTAATTTACATAAGATTTGGTATCTTTCTAAGTGCAATTACAAAAACATCTCCAGTAAAAATGTTCACACATAATTAAACTGATACATTGGATGCACTCGTAGCACATGATCAATCATGAATTCACTGCCATCCAATCCATTATCGATAACTGATCCAGCAATAAGCTTGACATCTTAAACCTGATACAGATATCAAATTGTCCTTGAACAGTGAAGCTCATAGTATTGAATCTGCATGTTAACCTTCTTAGTCTTGAGTTTAGTTTTGATTCATAGCATATGCACATTGACACAGACATCATGAATCATCACATATGGTATTTAGATATTTTCATATCACGGCATTTTAAGATGATGTAAATCTCTTTCTAAAGGATGTGGTTGCTTGGAAACAAAGCTAGAATATGTTCCTGGCGGGTTTATCATGCAGCACTTCTGAACTTGCTAGAATAGAATCAATCTTTGAAGCAGTGGTTTGGAGTGGCAATTTGCTATGGTTTTGTCCAAAGCAGGTGCTGTAAAGAACCCACATGGGTCACCTTGCCTTCCCTGGCACTGATTCCATGATCCCGATAAGGTATACACCACACAATCAAAAATTGTGAAGATGAGATAGTTGAATAATGTTTCAAGTGGGTAACCAACTGCAATCTCAGTTTGATCCTTAAAATAACTAGTTCACCAGCTACACAATATCAGGGCCTATATATCAGAATTGCCTTAGTTTCATGGACAGTTCACCCTCTCTGTTGACCTAGGACGGAGGCTGAACACCCTGAAAAACCAGTAAAACTTGTTCTGCCTTCATGAATTTGTCCTAGAGCAGAATTAGATTAACTGCTTGTATTAAATCCAAGAGAAGAGGGGGACTATTTGTTATTATATTTACTTCCCTGTCTACCTTGAGAACAAGATCATGATGTTATTAGAAAGTTTATTGCAGATAAATGCAAGGTACTACATAGGAAGTAACAATAGGAAACATATGTATTCCATAGGTTAGAACTTACCAAGTGGAAAACGGAAAGAAGTGTTTTAGTTGTGTGATTGCTCATCATGTGAAAACATGAAGCGCTTTGGGACGTCCTCCCGACGTGAAAAGCGCTATATCAAATGCAAGGATTATCATTATTATTATAACAGGGAAATGTAGCAAGAATTAAGGGAAACAGGAAACCTGGCTATATTGCACTTCACTGTGAAGTGCTTTGAGATGTCTTAATGTGATAATGTCTTATTTCAAATGCAAGATTATTTATCATCATTATTATTATTAAGAATAATACACATTACTAGCGGTCCCCATCCCGCAGAATCTTATAAAGTGCAGCTCCTATTGCAGTTTTACAGACTTTACAGCCCATCTTTTCCAATACTGTATTATATGCAAACAAAAGATGAGCGGGCAATCTGTTTACCTACGTTAATGACCTCTGCTTTCTAAGCAGTATTTCAAAAAGAAATTTTCAAAACTGGACTGATCGATGTAAACGTTTCTTCTTCCACTTACCTCCTCTATATATTTGACTGGTCCCAGTGTGACACATGTTCTCTATCGTGCTGAATTTGCTTAGCTCAATTTATGCTCATTGAAATACTGACCTGTGGACGAAATGCGAGCGAGAGAGAAATTAGCAAGAGAGATCTGAAAAAAATAGAAATTAAAGCCATCAACATGAAGTTGTGAAATAAACAGTCTGAAACAATTCCAGGCTTGTCCAGCCAGACAGCAAGGTCTTGTCTGAAAGCTCCTTCTATAGGTGCAATGTACACTACTCCACAAAACAGCTTCCTGATTAAAATCAGGCCACCTGAGAGGCCCTGAACTCAAGGCAAGTAATTTTCTTACAAAGTAAGGGAGGAAATCAGTGTGCACAAAGATGGAATATTCTAACAGCTTGTTTCAGTGCAGCAAAAGCTGGGGTCAAGGAGTACTTTGGCTGTTTTCTCCCTTGCTTGGGGAATAGTACGTAGATAACTAGCATTAAAGATGAAACATAATTTCCGCATTTGATATAGCACCGGCAATGTTATAAACATCTCAAAGTGCTTTACAGGTAATTGTACTCAAGGGTAGCAACTATATTCAGATTCAGCAGCCAATTTGCATAGAGCAATGTTCCACTAACAACCACAAAGTGAATGACAAATTTATCTGGAGAATTGTTAGCCAGTACAATGGGAGAAATTTCCTTCTCTATTGGAATAGCTTCATGTGATCTTCAACAGCCTCCTAAACAGCATACTGGCCCTCAGTTTTAACGTTCAAAAGACGTCACCGCTGTCAGTGTCTGATGTGCGAGACACTTGACACTTAGGCCAAAATGGAATTACAAGGAAATATAAAAAGGCATTAAAAGGGATTTATAAACTTTAGGTGAGGTAGAAAAAAATAATTCTTGCAAAGACTACACAACAGTAAGTTGTCTTTTAACATGGAATTTATTTAAGAAGAAATTAGAAAAAAATACAGTAGTAGATTAAGGGATTAAACAGCTGTCATGTCTAATAGCACAAAAGACTGTACATAAATTAAATTGCTAAAACATTCAACAAACGGCTTATACACTTAGCAAAATTGTTTATAGCATGTCAATTAATGTTTTGTTAACAATAAAAAAGCCCTTCGGGTTCTGCCTTTCTGCCTCTATTCATTTCAAGGACTTTGTCACTTCTGATACATTAGGTATTATATAAACCCTCTTTCATGCTTTGCCTCATCCTTACGGTCCCTTGTTCTCTCCATTGCACACTTTGCTGATATGTTTTCTGATTTTCACTCTCTCTCCTTTCCTTCTGCTTATATCTACTGCTTCTTCCAATCTGGTGCCTGCCATCTGTTCTGCTCTTCCAATCTCCCTCTCTGCTCCGGCTTTGATCTCTATATGTCCTGCCACTGTATTTTTCTCTACTGTGACTTCTGCTTTGCCTGTCTCCTCTTTTTCGCTCTCTATGCACATCTCTGCTGTGGCTTCGGCTTTGACTTCTTTCCCTATTTTTGCTTCTACTTCTACTCCTACTCTGTTTTCTGCTACTGGTTGTCTCTGAACCCTTGTGTAAAACCTTGGATTCATTGCTTGAATAGGTTTTGGTCAAATTTTGGTTATGAGAGTTACTTTTGCCAACATCACGGTCCGAAGAAGTATTTCGTTTTTTCTTTGAAGATTTCTTTTTCTTGCGCACATCTCTTTTTTCTTCAACATCCGAATCACTAGAACTACTTTCCGTGGTTTCACTGGAAGAGGATGAACTACTTTCCTTTTTCTTCTTCTGTTTACCTTTGCTTTTCTTCTTCTTTTGCTTTTTCTTTTTCTCTCGCTTTTTCTTTTTTTCCATGTGATCAAGTTTCCTTTGCAAATAAAATATCCATTTAGGTTAGTACACCTACAAAATACAGTCACAACACTTTACAGTATGTCTTGCAAAGCTCTTTGAGACGTCCTCCCGACATGAAAGTCCATATATCAAACGCAACAATTATTATTAGCAGTAGTATTTTTGATTTTTTTTCCAAAAAAGCTATTTTAATAGGGCAAGAGAATTCTTTTCATATCAAAGTCTCAAAAATTACATTCAGAAATCTTTTTCTCTTCCACATTTTTCTCTTATATAAAATGATATTGAACAGTTAGTTTAAGAATACAATTAGATCACATTTAAATATCCTGCAGGCTACATTACGCAAATTGGATTCACTACAGTACAACATATTCGAAAATTATACTTAGATTTCAACTTATGATAAGGTAATTTTTGGGAAAACAATTGCCAGGATTGTAGGATCTCTGACTTTTTTTTAAAATCAGGATTTGAATGACTACGGCACAAACAAAGAAAATGGGAGGAAATATCTCGTCACTCTGTGCAGCAATGAAAAGGCGAAAAACAATTTGGGTTGACAATAAGTTTTGATATTCGAAACATACCTCAAAAGTTTTTGTTTTTGTTTAGTAGAAAGAGATTTTAAAAATTCCACCTCAGGATCGTCATCCTCTTCGCTTGCTACGTACACCTACACCATCAAAAGAAGTTAAAAGCAATTTTGTTTAACAAAAGGAATTTCCAGCTCAACTAAAAGCAAAGATTTTCAGCACAACTTTTAGCTTTCTTTGCAAATCAGCTTTTGATTGTCAGTAGTTAATATAACAACAACAAATTACATTTGGATTGCACCTTTCATGTCAGGAGGAAGTCCTAAGGCGCTGGATTTAGACCCGAGCAGGGGGTTGGGATCAGAAGGGTGGAGGGCAGGAAGGGTAGAGGAGTAAGAGCTGGCCGAAGGCGGGGTCGAAGCGAAGGGTCTCGAGGATGAAGTGCATGGGTACGCGTAAATTATTTCTAATTAGCTTTTTATACTAACACATCTACATCTAGACACTACTAAATGCAACCATTAACAAAATGAACCTTTGTATTCTGTAGCTGCACGTACCCAATAGTAAAGGGCACTGTTGATGATTGCACAAAATAAATGAATGGATAATGCTTCCTAATGAACAGTGACTAATAAACAAATTTAACACTGATATTTTGTTCTTTAGTATCCATTATTCATTGACAGTGTTAAATATTGTATTCTGACAGGATAAGAATTGTAAAAAAGGATTCATTGAAAAGATGTTGATATTGAACAATTCTGGAGAAACTTGGGAGTTTTGTAAATTAAACAATACGTGGGGATGATATTCAGAAGAGCATTCGCAGTTCTGGATGGGCATTTTAATATACATTTTTAAGCAACACTGCATTGCTTCATGAATGGGAATATAATGATTTCCACCTCCCCCACCCCACCCCCGATCCTCAGGCTAGTCTTAGAAACACAAGTATATTACCTGTGATGAATCATTTGTATTCCTGCCCAACACACTTTGTTTCAGTGCAAAGCCGCTGTTTTTCATCTCTGCCATCAGCTCTGAGGGGTGCATCGATGGGCCTGCTTAAAACACCATACTTTTCAATACTCATTGATGTCTGTCTACACTTAGTTTTTATTTCACAGCTGGAATCCACATACTGCTTTGTTAAAAATAAAAGCCCAGATAAATCAATCCAATGATCCTCTGCTGTGTAAATTGTTAGCTATCATTCTATAAAACATCAGTTAAAAGACAACGAATATCAACTGACTTCACTTATCTTCAGCACAGCAGGGACTCCTATTGCACAAGCAACAAACATCAGAAACACTTCACTTTGAAAAAAATATTAATTGTACAAAGACATGATATAATAGATATTTCTCATTAAGTTTCAGTTTCCTTAGTTTCACAAAGTTAAGTACTGTACAACAGTAGCCTCATGTAGTTTTTAAATCTTATATTCATCTCTGGATTCCTATGTAGTGAGTGGGTCTGTGGAAGTCATGCAAAATAATGATTTTTTTTAAACAAAAAAGAGCATATTTTGTAAATATAGTTGCCTTTATTTATAACAGAGTCGAATCCAAATTATCCTGATTTATATTTATTATTATTATCATTATTATCGTCATCACGAAAAAAAGTGATCTTTTTGCTAAGTCTTCATAATGAAATTCCCAAACATTGCAATGGTATAATTCAGCAGCAGTCACTTTGATGAAAGTTGGGGACAGTTTATCTAAACAGTTCGGATCATTTCCGAGGTAAGATTTAATCTGCCGTTACATACCTGCACCTTCTGTAGACACTGAACTTGCATTGATTCCTGAAAGGCCAAATAATGGGCATTCTCTGTCTGTATTCACATGACCCCATTTATGGCATTTAATACACCTGACATTCCGAACCTAGACAGGATATGAAGCAGAGAATATAAATATCAAAAAGACAGTAATAGTAAGAAACAATGTCCACCCCAGGAGATAATATCTCCCATGTACAAGATTTGATAGTAAGATTAGAATTTTGAGAGTGCGGAGACATTACCTGTACTCTTACCTTACCCAACATGTGCATAACTATTACCACAGTTGTAGTAATCTGGTAAATTACAGCATCGTTTCTATAAAGCACTCAGAGATGTTACTCTTCAAGAAGGGCACTCTAAAAGTGCAGGTTTTTGTTGTTTTCTAAACAAAAGATTTTTCCATAAAGACCAGCGGTTGACAAACTTCTAGCTTTATTTTAAAACTAATAGCTTATGAAGCCAGGGTATTTGACGGAATGAATCGGGATTTGAGTCATAACAATATTGTTTTTGTTCAGCCAAAAAGGTTTTGAAATTTGCCAGGATTTTGCTTGTATTTTCCTTTATACATTTTCTATAATATTTTGAAAAAATGTTTTTCCACATAATTTCCAGGTACAAATACCCTCACTATATCTTTCTCTCCATCAAGCATTGATCATCTGTTCAGATGAATGTCAACTTCCAAAGTAAAAGTGTCTTCTGTAAGCAATGACTAATTACTCTTAAATATGACACAGAAACTCACAACAAAGTTTGCAGACAGACAAGTAGAAGTGTAAAATGAGCTTTAAAATAACAATCCACAATTTAATTCTCATGTTTTTCAGACCCCTTTCTAACACATCCAACATTGTGGTAAGCAAGTAGTCTATGCCTACCCTTTGAAAACGCTATTTTATTAGAAAATCGTCCATACTATGTTGTAACATATATAAACAAAGATGGCTATCTGCATCACACAGCATGGGGAAGAACTTAGTTGTATAATGGAACTTCATCTTCCAGGCAAGTTGCTCTTCAGGACACATTTTGCCAATCTTTTATTTTTTGCAATATATTTTCTAAATACATGACTAGTCTCTGGCTTCTTACACACACACACCTGGATTCCAAAAGGCTGGTCTCGAATGTTCATGTCATCCTTGGCATATCTAGAATGCAGAAAAGATACAGAGAATGGTTCGTGGAAGATCATATACTCATTTCTGTTTCAGCTACACCAATCCCTCCATTATTTTAAAATAGTTCTCAAACCACTTTTGCAGAAGAAAAATAAAATATGGATGAGATTGCTGTAATATCTGTTTGAACAGAAAAGGCAGCTGTAACTTATGAGTATTTAGTCAGGAGTGGAGCTATATCGCTGTCTTCTAAAGAGAATTGTCAAGTGGACATTTTGCACAGACATCACGGATTCTTATCTACCCCACCATTAGGCTGATTCAAAGCCAAAAGTATGGTCTTTCTGTGCTACTTTGGCACCCATGTGATATTCAGCAGAACACAGAAAGGCAAAATGAATGTTAAAATGAAGGATAACACAAGAACATTTACTGCTACAAGATAGTGATAGACAATCTGCCCTCTGCTACATTGCTTGTCAGCTACAGCTTTTACAGGGATTTCGTTTTCTGGCTTGAAGTACTGTGGACCCACTGGGCTCAGGCATTGAAATATCAAATTTTTCATAGAGGATCATAAATCATAAATTCTGATCTATTGCCATGCTCAGTCGCAAAGAAACACTGTTTACCTCCATACCAAATAGGATTGTCTTGAGTTTATTATTCGACATTTTTTGGGGATTGTTGGAAAATGATACTGGAATTTGCCAGTCATTTTCCAACATTGAGCTAATTAAATAAAAGAAGTTTGCTTTTTAAAACTAAAGGTTGTCAGCAGCAATATGATCGGCACATACAGCTACACTTACTTTTCTCGTGGAGCAACCTTCTGCCATTCAAACTTATATTCAGTTTCCCCTTCTGCCTGCAAACACATAAATAAAACTTTAGCTTTAAATTAGCCCAATTGACAAACCTATTGAACGTGACATTAAATACGATTCAAAATAGTATTTATCAAAATAAATCACACATTCTTACCTCAGTACTCTCTTTATTGTAGGGCAATAAAAACAGAGAAAGGAAAACAATAATTAGTATACTTTACACATTAATTCCAGATCTTATTGAGCACACAGAAATAGATTTCCCAGAATGTGCCTTTTTACATGCACCCTGTAATCTCATAAACTTCTCAAACTATTAAAATATTCAGTTTTACCAGACTTTGTTCCTGGAGGTGCTTCGTACATAAAGTTAAGCCCATTTTTTACTCGTTCATCACCCATGAGCAACCTTAAAAAAAGCAAAGATGTAAAAACAGTTGAATGTTAATCCGTTAAACATTAAATTAAAAAAAAAGAACTCGCACCTAAGAAGTATAATTGATGCATTAGAATTAGCAATATTTATATGCCATACCTGTTATCGTACAAATCTTGTTCTTTTACATATTGTTGCATTAGTTCTTCCTGTTTCTTTTTCTCATACGAGATTTTTTGCTCTGCCATCCAGACCTAAAAAAAATCAAATTCTTAGTCAATTTGCAATACATCTTCTATAATTAATATTACAAGATACAAGTGTCATAATTTTATGGAAACTATAAGATGTGGTGATTTTCCAATATTAACTTACTAGATGCATGTGGGAGAGAATCAAGATTGACAGCAAAGTATTCACATTACTCAGCTATTTATAAAGCAAAATCATTCATTGAATTCTGCTCTGCCCAACAACACAAACATCCACACATACTTTACAGGTGCCAATTGATTTTCTGATAAATCCCCAATACAGAGTCACTCGTAGCGTTGAACTAAATTTTAAAACGGAGTGTCAACAGCTTGGTTGACATCCACCTTGACAGGCAGACAGGACCTCAGTTTAAAGTCTCAATGGAATGGTATTCAGTCAACTTTGCTGTGTATCCTGTGAAGTGCTTTGACACGTCTCGAAGACGTGACAAGGCGCTGTGTCAAATGCAAGTATTCTCATTATAATTCGTATAATGTGGCGTTCTCCCCCACCCCATGAGAGTCTCAGTGCTGCTTGTGAGCTCACAATCCTCTGAATCGCAGGGCTGGAGAGTGAGCGCTTCGCTGACCGAGTTGAGCTGACACCCAACACGGCCCCCGCCAATCCGCCCATCCACGACCTCCCGCGGGACGCCGCTGCGCCCAATTGGCCGCCAACCGCGACGGCGACGGCAAGCAGCAAAACAACAGCAGCGACTTGCCGTCGCGTGAGGCCCCTCACGCCGGGGGGTCGCGGGCCCGGAGCGGGCGCCGACGTTTGGTTTCGCCCAAAGCGCGCGCACGGCGCAGTCGGCTGACCCGGCGGTGGCCGCCGCCGCCGCCCCGCGAAGCGCTGCCAGACGCCCGGAAGACGCGACGAGGCGCCGGGCGCGTGCGGACGGGACCATTGTCACCATCGCGATGGCACGAGAGGCGCCTTTGCCCATTGCTGCATCCACGGGAAGAGCAATGATGGTGATGATGATGGTGATGGTGATTATTATTATTATTGTACACAACCACAGGCCCCAAACAGTTGGCTGGGCCGAGGCCCCGCCCCCACCCCCGGGGGGTGGGTGGAGGAGGGGTGGGGGGGGGAACCCCTCACCTTTTTAATGTTGGACTTGGAGGCCGGGTGGAAATCCTTCTTGCACATGAAGTTAGCGAACGACTTGCCCATGTTGGCGAGAGTTTCGGCGCCGCCGCCGCCGCCGCCGGGACGAGCTGCTGAAGCCGCCGGACTGGAAGAGACTACAATCCCGAAAGGCTGTGCGGCGGCGGAAGCGGCGGTTGGGGGGGGAAAGGAAGAGGAGGTGAGCACTTCCGGGGGGCAAAGGGCAGAGGGCGGCAGCGTTGCCTCTGACAACGGAAGGCCGGGCCGGGCCTGGTGTGTGTGTGTGTGCGCTGCGGGGCCTGAGCTCAAGTGAAGGCGGAGGAGTTTCTGTTTCCTTTCCAGGTAATGGCTTCAGGGCCTCCAGGCCGCAGCAATAATATCGTCATGATATCCGTATTGTTATTATTAATGCTAATAAATGATTAAGATTAATAATAATCCTTTTGCGTTTGAGAGAGAGAGATAGTGAGTGAGAGAGAGAGAGAGAGAGAGCGCCTTTTATCGCCTCGTCCAGACGTCTCCGGGCGCTTCGCGGGACGTGACCGTAAAGTGGTTCGACTTGCGCCCGGAAAGGTCGACGACATCGTCGTCGTCGCCGTCGCCGTCGCCGCCCGCGTCGCGACGATGGCATTCATCGGCGCGTTCGAGACACCGCGTTGGATCGGGTCGCCGAGGCGTCTCAAAGCGCTTCACGGGAAATACACTCCCCAAGTTGGATTGACTGCGTATTTTGTGGGCGATTAATTGCTCACATCTGAAATGACCCCCCGACCCACCGCAACCGCGCTGCTCTTGACCTGCGGGCTATGGGACCTCCCGCAGAGGTCGCCCCGAGTTAATGCGGGCGACACGGGAACGGCAACGATCACAAAGTATTTCTTTGCCCGGAGAGGGCCATCGGCAGCTTTTGCTCATCTCACTGCACCGCCAGCAATCCTTGCACTTGCCGCGGCCGCTTACCGTGTCACGACGTCCCAAAGTGCTTTTCGAGCAGTGATTTAAATTGTCACAGATGCTTAGCGTTCCTCTCGGAAAGGAATATTGGAATATGGGCCTGAGCATCAGCAGACCCAACGTACTGCGGTATTATCAGAGTATTTAAAATTACGTGCTAATAAATGTTGACCGTGGCTTTACCGTGTCGTCGGGTCACATCTTAAAACAAAACAATAATAGATTGGTCATTTTCAATCCATGACTGTCTGTGGGACACTGCTGTGCGCAATCGGCTGCCGCGTTCGCCCACAAATATACGGTCAGTTCACTTTACAGTATATTCTGGAAGCGCTTTGGGACGTCGAGAAGACGTGAAAAGCGCTATATCAAATGCGAGGATTATTATTATTAAATCTTGGGGAAAATACCAAGCAGCAAAACAAGATCTCCTAAACTTCTCAAAACTTTCTTTTCCCCCAGTATGGCTTTCAGAAATAGATGCCCTCCTCAGTCTTGTGACACATTTGTGGCTTTGCCTCCAGCAACAGCTAATGGTCGGATCATTTTTGGAAAGAACTCTGACAGGCCTGACAGTGAAGTTCAGGAGGTTGTTTACTATCCCGGAGCAGATCATCCATCAGGAAATAAAGTTGAAGTGAGGAACCAGTTTATTTTTTGAAAGCGCAGTTAGCCTAAGGTTCATAACATCTATGCGTATACTGTACTTTTAAAAGTGGTTAACAGTTATTAAATTCTCACGGCTCCTTTAAATGCGCGATCCCAGAGTGTAATGTTTGCTTTGTATAATATTCCCATTGTTGTCAATTGCAATGGAGATTCTGATTTAAACCTTTTCTACAGCTGATTCATAAAACGCACACAATAGTGAATATAAGAAGAATCTAGGTCCACATTATATTTGCATGAACATACAAAATCAAAATGGATCTTGAAATGAGCTTCACATTTAATATGCACAATTTAAATTGTAATATGTCACGTTATATGTGAGAAAATTAGAAAAAAAGCTGCATGTGATGTGCAAAATGACGGTAGCTTTTTTTACAGAGTTGAAATTGTTTACTTTGCAGTGCACATATATAACGATTGATCAGGTTGAGAAGACGCACGGAGTTGTTCTTAGTCGCCCATCCTGGTTGTGGGGAGCTGAAATGGGAGCTAATGAACACGGAGTATGTATTGGCAATGAAGCTGTCTGGGGAAAAGAAGAGCCCAATGATGAAGAAGCCTTGCTGGGCATGGATTTAGTCAGGTTGCCTTATCTTATGTTTTTTCAAAGTTATGATGAGCTCGCTTGGGGGGTTGGTGGGTAGAGGGAGAACGAGAAGCAATATCACGGTGGTTGTTTTTTATGGAACATCACGTAGAAATTGCATTTATTTTGTTGTTTAGAAAGTGCATTTATTTTTTATGGTTTGATTTCAGAATGTATCTTTTAATGAAACATCACATAGAAATTGCATTTAACTGTTTAAACTTAGCACTACGTTCGGCAGCTACTTCTCAGCATTTTACGCTAATAACTATAGTAAAACTAATTTTACTGCAAGAACAATCATTTTTGATTGATTTGAAACTGAGATTTATGATTATATATTCTAGGCAAGTTTTTTAAAAAATAATTATATTTTGAATTACATTTTAGGCTTGGCCTCGAAAGAGCTGAAACAGCAGAGAAGGCAGTTGATGTCCTTGTTGATCTGTTGAAGAAATATGGACAGGGTGGGAACTGTATGGAGGATCAGGCTACATTTACCTATCACAATAGCTTTCTGGTTGCTGACAGGAAGGAGGCCTGGGTTTTGGAGACAATTGGCAAATACTGGGCAGCAGAGAAAATTACAGGTACAGACCAATTACCTTTATCTGATTAATAGCATTAAGCATTTATAGAAGCATAGGAAGAGTTACAACACAAAGAGAGGCCATTTGGCCCATCGTGCTTTTGCTGATGCTTGACCTCCCACAACTTTATAAAACTTGTGCTTCCTATACTCAGAAGGGGTTCGTAATATTTCAAACCAACTTTCCATCACAACAAAGATTGACAAGGAGCACCCAGAATTGAGAAGTTATGCCAAGACTCGAGGCTGGTGGAATGGCAAAACCGATTTCAATTTCACTGCTGTGTATTCATATCAGGACACTGCAAGAATGTACCAATCGGGTAACCGTTACTGTACTGGCCACCGCCTTCTTAAGAAACATGAAGGTAATTAACCTCTGGTGTAAAATCACAGCCTTGTAAAAAATGTTGCTGATTTTAGATGTAATAATGCTTTGCTTTTGTATCAACATTTACTAACGTTTGAGCCACAGAAATTAATTTTACAATAAACCGGTATGCATAATAAATAAGATAATTAATTATATCAGTTTGTGATTAAAATAATGTTCTGAAATTTCTTATTGTTTCATTCTTGTGACATGTCGATTGTCAAACCCAGATTGATGTCAAATAACGAGTTTGGTGGCTCCCTAGATCATTTTCTGTCTGTGTTTTACAACAGGAAATATTACAGCTCAAACCATGATGGAAATTCTACGGGACAAAGATAGCGGCATTAATAGGGAGGACGGGACAACAGGGAGCATGGTTTCCATTCTGCCTGTCGACCCCAAACAATGCTGCATTCACTCCTTTACAGGAACCCCTGATCCTGAGAGGTAGGTCAATATCTGTCAACATTTTCACTCTACACAACTGTTCACTATTATTCATAATTTTATAATAATAATCCTTGCATTTGATGTAGTGTCTTATCACATTGTTGAGATGTCTCAAAGTGCTTCACAGAATATAATGCAAAGTGGATTGAGTGCATATTTGTGGATGAAACGCGGCAGCCAATTGCGCACAGCAGTGCCCCACAAGCAGTCGTGGATTGAGTGACCAATTTGTTTTTTGGTGAAGACATGATGAAGTTGCTGAGTGGTTTCCAAGACACAGATAGACAGCTTATGATTAACAACTGTCAAAACTCAGTTTCTTATCAATCTGTTAGTAGAATTCCAAGAAACATTGCATCACAGTTATTAATCATCAAGTTATTAATCGTCAATATTTGTGAAACAAAACCACTCGTCACCAACCTGGTTTCCTTGCTCACTGTTGCTGGCGAAACTCCTTTAGTCGACAGCAGGTGACACTGTTGCAGCATCTTTTTCCAGTGCGTTCAGATTTGCGATGAACAAAAACTTACATAAACTGACACCACCATATTTTAAGTTTTGTTTTTTAAAAAAAAAAGGTCGACTGTTCTGCAGCCCATTGCTTGAAACCTTTTTTTAATTATTTTCATCTGTACTGCACAGCCTGCATTAATTTTGATTGTGTCCGGATCAAATTAGAACAATAAATGCAGGATAACTTAACAACAATGTCATAACGTTTATATAGCACCCTTCACACGGGGTAGTGTCTCAGAACGCTTGGCAGTGGTAGAGTCTGACACGGTACGTTTAGGTGCCATCTATTTTGATTTGGAGTCCCAGCCTACACAGTCACTGTGGGCTATTATTCAATTTTCTAACTAGTATTGTGGATCATAGCCAGACATCACTGCAGCCATTAATGATAAGAAATGTTTTTTTTTTGAAAAATGCAGTGTTGGGCATCAGGCAATATAACTCCCTGCATGTGCTAAGATGTGCTACTGTTGGAGGTGTCACATCAGTCCTGTGCTCTAATTGCCAATTAAACTATGAGCGTAATCAAATATTTGGTCTGTTCTATCTCAGGTCTGTTTTCAAACCTTTTATCTTCGTATCAAATATTCAAGAGTTACTAAACACAAGTTCACCTTCATTTGGTCCTGATGATCCTGTGAAGAAGGAACCACGATTCCAGACAAAACCAGACAGAAGACACGCGCTTTATAAGAAGCATGAAGAGGCAGCCTCAATTATTGAAACACACAAGGTAAAAACAAGTATGGGAGGGAGTAAGGAATAGTTGAAGACTCGTGTGGAGTATAAACACCAGCATGGACTGGTTGGACCGATAGGCCGGTTTCCATGCTTTATATTCTTTGTATTTATATTCAATCACATACTTAAGTAACAGTAAGTATACAGAAGGAATGAATAAAGGAATGGTAGACTTTGGGCAACCTGTATTAAACTTCATAAATCATGTGCCTTAATCACCAGAAGCGAGGTCCCAAGATACTGCAGAACATGAGAAATCTGGAGAAGGAACAAATGGAAAAGGCAGAGGAATTCCTAAAGAGCCAAACATTGGATTCTACAGAAGTTGTTCATCTTTTCTCTGATAGTGTAGACTTGGAAATTAAAATTTACACTACAAGTGTGAACCAGCAGTAAAAACAATTAGTATTTATGCAAGCACGTACTTATGTAACAGGTTTAAAAAAACAAAGAATCAGTATATGCAAAATTAACTGGATGTGCCTCAGGCAAACTCAAGTTTCAGGACGTTTTACTGATTGTAAAACAACTTTTCATTTTATATATAGCATGGAAAAGGGTTGAAAGAGAATTCAATTATGTTCTTAAAAACAAATCTAGAATCAAAGAGTATAGGAAAGAAGTAAACAATGAACAAAATGGAGGTAAACATTTTAGAGACCTGTATCTACTTAAGTTAGGGTTAATTTTATTGACTTGAAGTTACCCTGATGTTTCAGTAACTGTTGCTGCAGTACTGTATCTTTTTCAGAGTCATTGGGCTAAAAATGTAGAGAACTGCAGAGATAGTGTCTCCATAGATCTGCCAACAATCTAAGGGTTCTTTCAAAATGTATTAATTAAATTAAAAGTTTAATACCGGGTCACATAATTTGGTCAGTGTTATCTGGTGCCACTGAAAATGTCAAGTTAGTTGTGGCAATCTGGAAGTGGGTAAGTTGGATCATAACTGCAGCATTTATATAACATCCCCTCACGTAGGGTAGCGTCCCAGAGCGCTTTGTCATTAGTGGATTATTATTATTATTACCCATTGTAATTAGCTAATATGTTAACACACAGTGGGTAGGCCCGGGGTTTTCAATCACGATTACATGTTTGGGAGGTGTCAGCGTGATGCTTTTCCTACAAAAGAGTTCTTAAATTCGAAGGTATTTTTCATAGGCTCCCTGGTGTTCCTACCCGATTACAAAGTGGGATCAGCAGAAATCTGAGCCTAAATATCAGTCAATTAATATCATGTAGCACAGGAAACCTAAAGCAGAAATATAAAATATGGATGTCAAATTTAACTAAAAAAATCATCTGTAGTGATTTGTGCTGATTTGCTAAAAGGTTTAGTGAAGACATTGTAATGCTGGTAAACTTGAGAGGAGAAGAGTTTGTATGTTAAATCAAGTGCACAAGTTGTGACTTAATTTGCAAAATGACTGATTACAAATGCATGATTTTTCGACTATGTGCTTAAGATGTACACAAGTATATTAAACATTTAAATTTATTTCTGTCTCACAACAGACTTCCATTTTTTCCCCTCCTTAGAGTCTATGATTGTAAGAATAATGTATTAACTAATATCCCTACTCTGTAACATTAAATTCCATTAACAGTGTGTGTTTTCTAATAATACTTGCATTTAATATAGTGCCTTATCATGTCTTCGACACATCTGAAAGCGCTTCACAGAATATAAACTGTAAAGTGAATTGACTGTATATTTTGTGGGTGAAACACGACATTTAGGCATTGACATTTAGGTCTTGAATGGCACAGAATATAATGGCACACTCTTTTAAAATATAGTAGTTGTTGAATTGTTCAATTTCAGTGATTAATAATAACAATAATAATCATACTTACATTCAGTACAGAGCCTCCCACGCTAGGTCCAGAGAATGTCCCAATGCGCTTCACAGTAACAACAAGAAATTACATTTGTATAGCGCCTTTCACGTCGGTGGGATTTCCCATTATTAACAGACACATAATAAAACAGTCAACATAAAATCTCGCCACCCAAACTCGAAGCCCAGGAGTATTAAAATCTGGAATTGCTCTACAACAATCAAGGACACTTTTCAACATATCAAATTATTTATTACAATACCAAGACATTCCAACAGTTCACAGATCATTTCAGTATTTTTTTTAAAACAGCATTATATTGCTGTAAATCAAGTTAAAAGTAACAATCCATTTTCAGCATCAGAGAAATAAGTAGGAGGTTAAAAAAAGTGCAACACTCTGAATAAATAGAATTGGAGGATTCAGCTTTCATACCGACTTCTTTCTGCATGCCTTTCACATATGGTTTAAAAGTACATCTAATTTAAAGTGCAGTGTTTAAAATTATTACAAAAGCTTGAACCTACCCGTTCTGTTCCATTGAAGCTGCGAACACAGATACGAGTTGTTATATTTTACTGTCGTGGCCACAAAAAAAGGTTAAACCTTTTTGAGTAACTTTATGGCACAGACGCAATGGTGGTTTGCTTCGTAACCTCCCACTTGCTTCAAATACATATTTATCAGCTTTGCTTAGTTCTCCTCAAATGGAAAGCAAATGTGCTCAGTGTAGTCTCACAGAGTCTTCAACGCAACAGAGCTTTACAGCGAATCATGTTCCATAATCAGTAGGTTTATAGTTTGTACAAAGGTTTATATAACCTCAGGTAACGTGTATTTTAAACCTTGGTAAGATTTGAAACAATATCAATTGTTTTTCAACAGCCAAGACTTTTAAACTCTTTGGTTAATAATATGCAGAACTCACAATAAAAACACATTAAAATGATAAATTACCAGTGTTATCAAAATAAAAAGGAACATTTTGTAGGATTCATCCTGAGTTTCTCAAGTAGTTCTAATAACGGTTAAGATCATACGGCACCATCGGCATCATACGATAGTACAGAGACTCATCACAAAATGAATAGTCCTCAGTGATATGCTGAATGACACCACCTTTAAGTAGTCGGTTTCCATAATTCACAGCTTCACCTCGATCATGGGCCAGACCCACTTGAATCAACCAGTCCACAAGATGACATCCCTGGAAGACATCTGTGTAGCTTTGTGCACCGCACCTGTGTCAAAGTAATGATTCATCCACTTGGTCGGCAAGTCTCATATCACTGTTTCACAGGAAAAGACACAGCAAAGAATTGCCAGAAAAAAGGTAGGATAGTACGAAATAAAATAGCATCGGTTATAAACCAAACAATATTCAAATCTACACAAGTCAGGGTCACAATGGATGAAAATATATCACAGTGTTACCCCAAGATTTATATATACACACAAGTGTTGTATTATTTGCTCATTGATTAGACTTCTAGTGCGTCAAATAACACTCAAGACACTTCAATAACAACAACTTGCATTTATATAGCGCCCTTCACATGGGGTAGCGTGTGAAGCTTAATAGATTGGGATAGAAGGTTTGCAGCAATTCACAATAGCATTCCGCATCCACTGTGAAGTTCCTAATCCAAAATGTTTACAACGAACGTTTTTAAAAAGCCTTAAGCAATAGCAATTCTAAGCCACTTTAGCGATCAGAGGGATAATCAATTTCTCCATAAAATAAGACCAGTGTAGATTACGTAACCAGAAATAAAATTTTTATTACACCTTCCAATTTAAAATGATCAGCCCAACGTGCTTCACAATGTCTCAGTTATCTGGACCTTGACTTACCTGACATAAGTTTTGCTTTTATACCGTAAGCTCTGTGTTTACACTGTATGGTTGGCAGTGAACTGCTGCAATGTTGAACAAAAGGTGTAGGAATAAAGGGGAGCTCAGTCAGACAGTGTAAAATCCCGTGGAAAAATCTACTGAAATATCCTGGAGGGGCTGCTTTCAGGAGCTGTGTGTTTCACATTTGCTGCTGTTTCATTAAAGATGTATTAAAGTTGTACTGAACTTGCTTCCCATTAACTGCTCAAAGTTCCACTGGACAAGTCTGAAGCTTTGAACGGGCCAATATTTCATATCATCAAAGAGCAGGTCACCTTACGGTGTACATTCCCACAATCCCAAAATCAGGTGTTTTGTTTCATTTTTGGCCCCAGTCAGTTAACCACAGTGCAGAGCATCAAGTATAAAAGCAGCACCAAATACCAATGTTCTTACTCAGCGCAACGGTTATGCTTCTATTCGTCTTAATAAATATTACTAATAACAAACTAGAGCAACAGAGATTGTAATGACACTAAAGTTTCATTCTTCCTCATTCAGCATCCTCCACCTCCCACTGGATTAAACCCCACCATTAGCCAAGAACACGAAGCGAAGACAAAGAGGCCCTGACACTTTATCCTTTACGGCAGGGATGGGCAAGGTTAGGCCCACGGGCCACATTACACACAGGTAGGAATGGTCACGAGGGCCGCACGACCTCAAATTGGCCATCGCTGCTTTAAAGAATGGGTCAAGTGTCTCATTCTGACACACTATGTCTCAGGAAGTGAGGTCAACCCGAACGTCAGCATTTTCTTTTTAACAAAAATGCGTGGGAAGCTGTCAAACAGGAAGTGCCACCTGCTGAATTTTGTGTGCATTTTGTTATACAGTTGGGCCTGGAGACATTGGACGCAAATGTCTGCATTGCATCATCCTTTATTAATAATTAAAACCTTCCAGTCTTTAAGAATTTTGAACAATAAATACCATCATTTTGTTGCCTACATGCTTGATTATTTGGAATGAGCCTGATATGTCGAGGACTGTGTGGATCAAATTATTCAGCCAGACAACAGACATGAAGCTGACGCAAGATCTACTTGAAGAGACACAACATTGAGAACAACCTTTGTAAGCACAGACTGAGTTATAAACACCGTTAAAAAAAAAAGAGAGAGAAAGCTGAAAGGTATAATAGGAATGTTAAAATGTATGATACTGTGCAGATTAAATGTCTTTAGTATTCAATTTATAACCATAATTAAGCATTGTGATGGAGAGAACTTTATGTGCCGTTTTGTGTACGAAGTACAGGGAATTAGATAGGTTAAGATTATAGTCAATAGCTTGAGGGTAGACAGCAAATGTGAAATTCATCAGACTTAGGGCAAGCTTTTACAGAAACAAACAGAGCAACAAACTTAAACACCAAAACCACAGACTTTAAGAAACAGCAGCAGAGATCTAGCAAATCTTAAGCAACAAAAAGGAAAAAATAAATCAGCGAAAATCCTTATCTATCGTCAGGCAAATCATACACACACGGAAAAACATTCACACCATGCTTACAGGACTATACATGAAAATGTACGAAAATTTCCAGTTGATGCACATACGTACCTTCTCTCCTTTACTATGTCACTGGCACACTGGTTCTTATGATACTGAACAAACTGTTGGCAGGTCATTTTCATTTCTTCTCTTATTGCACTGTCATTTTGTGCCGCTATGTCTCTTCCATGCCACAGGAACTCCAGTCTGTCAAAATTAACAGGAACGAATTACTAACAACAACAACAACTTGGATTTATATCGCGCCCTCCACGCCGGACGGCGTCTCAGAGCGCTTCACAGTAACGGATCTCGGGGCCGAGCCGGGGGGAGAGGGGGGGGGGGAAGGTGACCAAAGACGCGGTCAAAAAGAAAGGTCTTCAGCAGAGTCCTGAAAATAGGAAGGGAGGGCGCGAGGCAAAGGGACTAACAGATTGAACTTGTTAACTGTTTAAAATGAATGTGTCTCCTGCTCTTAGCCTCACCCCAACATAAACTATTCAAGATATTGAGAGGGTGGGCAGGTGATGAAATCATAGGCTGCTGCCAAACAGACTGCAAGAAGGTTTATAAGAGCAAGGCAGTAACACTCTCCCGTCATATTGTTACCCTCCCACCTTCCCCCTTTGTTGAAACATTTCTAATCTTCTCATCAACGCAAAATGTACTCTCACAAAGGGATTAAATCCCACCACAAATTTAGTGCACTGAGTCATATGAAAAAAAATGTTCCACGATATACAACAAATTACCAACGTCATTAGGTAGATCACAGAATCCATAACTTGATTTTGATATAGACTGAGTTTATAATAATAATCAGGCTTGGGATTCAAATGTAGACTCTCTTGCTTCTGCTTAATAATCTACAGTATTAATAAATATTGGTGCAATTTGTTTTTCAATTGTTTTGGGTGGGGGTATTGATTGGAAGGAAGTTACTAAATTATCACGGTGAATTATTTACCTCTTTTTGCACGGAAGAATGATTAAATGTTTGTCGAGTCCAAATATCCCAAATGAAATAAACCCCTAAATGAAAAGAAACAGAAGGAAACAAATTGATTCTTTGACGCAATATTAAAATTTGTTATTCTTTGGCATTTAAATCGCTTACATTTTATGGTTGAATTGGTCACGTTTTACAGTTGATATCAAAAACACCGCATCACCAAGTAGTAAACTCGAACTACAAACCTGACCAAAGTTGAAGATTACGCAGAAGAACTGCAGTTCAACATACAGACGCCCCGGTTCGTGGTTGAACAGCCACCACAAGCAACTGGAGACATTCTGTAAAACAATACAACACAGAACATAGTCAAGAATAAAAAAAAAACTTCATACAATTTACAGTGAGATTTACTTCGGTAATGGTTGTAATGAAACCGAACAACTTCTTTCTTTTCGGGACTTTGAAACCTTAGAAAATATCTAAGACCCACCATTCGGAGCTTTGAGAACTGGAGCCAGAACAAACAGAAACCGAAGCCAATAAAATGTCACGTCAAACTTACTGGGCATTGAAACTATGTCCTTTGAAAATGACTTTTGATATGTTTGAAGCAACTTTGTTGCAGCCCGTAATTTCACACGATTTCACTTTGATTTGAATTTGGAACGCGACTCAGTGTCAAAGCATTGCCGGAAAATAAAAGGTGCATTCCTGGCATTTCTGATTTAGAGAGATCATTTCCATCTGCATAGATATTATATAGGTCACAGTTTATAGCAGCTGTCTGAAAAGTTAGTGATAATCGCACTGGTAACCTGGGAAGTATTTGCAAAAGTGGTCATGGATACTACAATTTAAGATACTTCGACACCACAGCTGTAAATTGATCTACTGCTTTCATATTCTGGTGTTTTTCATTTAGATTTACTACTACATCGTTCTCACTTTATGCACACGTGAATTTAATTATGTTCTCTTTGACTTACTGTTTCAACTCACATAGCTCTGACTTTTATTTTCTTTCCTACTCTGTTGATCTTACTATTTGTGCTTGAGCCAATTCCCTCCAACACTCAAGATAACAAGAGACTCCAAAGTACCTTCTTATTTTCTTAGTGTTCAGGCAATGGCAATCGTTTGTTGTTATTGAAACCAGAATTATTTTGAAATAGAGAATTCCTGCAAGAACATACCCACATCCTCTTCAATTATTTTCAATGTTAGACAAACTTGTGATTTTGTAAGATAGCTCAACAACAAGCTTCAACATTCATAAACTGCTGGTACCAGAGATTATTGAGGATGTCTTTGCTATTTTCCTGAGTAGTTTCATCTAATGTATAATAATCCCAACATCAAGACAGTAATGGGCTATTTAACAGACTCCAGTGCTGATATTATCATTACACTGAAGCTGCAGGAATTATAAAGACTAAAATACTTTGAGTGTGTGATCCTTTGTCGAAATCAAAACTAAAACAATACATCGAGCAAACAAATTGGACTGCTAACACACTAAATATTCACTAGATTTGAGTGACAGGAGAGAACATAAAAAAATTCCTGTGCACAATCAATGTTGTTTACCCCTCTCTTACTCCTCTCTATACAGAACATATTCTGCAGCCCTCAAGAGCAATTATTATGCATGCGAAATAGAGATGGAGAAGATACAGACCAGATGTTGTGGTCAGAGATCAGAAATGAGGAAGGAAAGAGCTGAATGTCAAACCCAACGGCAAGGTTCAGTCAATTGGATAACGAGGCTGGAAAAGGCATAGCCAGGAACAAGGATGCATTGGCAAGACCTGAGCTTCCATCTTCACCCACAAAATATACAGTCACTTCACTTTACAGTATAATCTGTGAAGCGCTTTAAGATATCTCAAAGACGTGATAAGGCGCTACATCAAATGCAAGGATTATTATTATTATGTTTAGCCGAAGAAAGTTGAGACTAATTCAAGCCTTGATTTCTGCCAGGAGACAGGCAAAACATGATGAATCTTGGTTGTTCTAAGAACTGGTGCAGACTCGATGGGCTGATTCTACAATCTGGAATCAAAGGTGGAGTAGAGAGGTAGGCTTGGGTGTTATCCACATACATGTGGAAACCCGTGTTTGCGGATGATATCACCGGGGGTGGGCGGGTGGGGGTGGAAGAACTAAATTGAACACTGTAGAGGATGCACTATCTGAACTAAATAGCTTCACAGAGACAGTAAAACTTACAGCAAAGAGGCCTATGATGAGGAGCAGACACAGCAGCACATGTCTGCCCAATTGGGGATCTGCATTCTGCAGAAGCTGTTCCTCTTGTACCAACATACAGTTTTCAGAGGTGCACAGTGTTCTGCATTGCTCTGCCATGAGACAAAATAAACATATTCTATAATTAGAGAATACAACTGATCAGATGATGCATTGCAAACAGAAAAACAGTGCATTGTGCCGAACTCTGGTAGTAGCATTCTTTACAAAATGTAATTATTTGCATTTTAACTCACTGCCACTGCAATTTGATTTAATAAAAGCAGCGAATTAATGCAGTTTATAGTAATAGACGTAAATTGTATACTGTTGTCAGAGTCTCGTGTTTTGTACATTTTAATTCTCCTCCAAATAGAAGCATCTCTTGAGAACAGAACTTTATTGAAGGCATTCAAATCACATGAAAACGCAAAAGGGATTGGAGGGGGAATCTGCGATAAAGTCCATATTTTATGTTCCTTGGGGACTGTTACAGTCCAGTGTCACCAAAAGGAAAATGTGGAAATTGGGAAAGTTTCTGTAACTGCTTTTAAGCACTCTGGGACACTACAGGTTGTTGTTGTAGTTGTTGTAACAACTGGTTGTAGTTGTTGTAACAACCATATCAACTTCTGGGTGTTGCGAAAAAAATGTTGGTGAATTTCAGCCACAGCAAGAATACTGACACTAAGAATAGAACACTTCCTATTTTAAAGCACTTGGTGGAAAACAACTCCCGACTTCAACAGTCTGAACCTTTCCATTTCCCATCAATCACGCTTGTGATTTTTTTTTAGTTAAACTGTCAATTAGAGCTTAATTAATGGTTACCACTCAAAACAACCACTCGAAGCGTGATTCAGCCGACTCCGAATATACCATATCGGATCTCAGTGGAGAGAGCATGTGTGGATTTCATCACGTTTGAACTTGGGTCCTTGAGGTAAAAGGCTAATTTTTTTTTTAAAAAAGGCTGCTTTTGTCCACCGATGACTGATAAACTTGGTTAATTTTTTTTTTAAAAATTGCTTCCGGAACCTGTGTACTTTATTCACAGTTTTTCCCCCCATTCAGAAGAATTAAAAACAGAGATACTGTAGGACAGCGTAAAATATGTTATGTGTCCAACCAGAAAATAATTTAAATATCGCATTTGGCCAAATAGGATCTTAGCTAAATAAATTATAGTAACATTCCCGCATGAAAATCAAAATTATGACATTATCATTGCGTTTTCGACTGCGTGCTTCATATTTTACATGGCATAAAAATCCTCACAAAGTAATTACAACTACACAATCATGTAGGTCAACTCAGGGGTTTTGTTTCTTAGAAATGTACCATTTTGACACAGTAATGCTTCATTCACACTTCTGCTGTGATTTGGATCTTGCCGGCTCGCGCAACAGAATTCGCCTCCATTTTTCACTTGACATTCACAGATTTCTGTTTCTGAAATAAAGAATAGTGAAGTAATAGGGTTTAAACCAACCCACCCTTCCCTCCCCTTGACAGTCGAGCCTTCAGCCTTTCTGCTCCCGCTCTCTGGAAGTCCATCCCAGAGTCCAATTGCCTCGCCCCTTCCCTCACCTCCTTCAAGGTCCATCTGAAGACCATCCTCTTTGACCGCTCCATCGGCCATCTTACCCTGCTTTCCCCCACCCCGGCCTCCATTTCCTCCCGAATCCAACCCCCAGCTCGGGTGCAAACCGTTATAGAGAGTAAATTTTATGCATGATGCAGCATAATTTCAGGAAACGATCTTCATTTACCTTTTTCAACTACTAATTCCGTCCCAGGCTGTTCGTTGTTAACTGTAACTACATTTTCACTCTGGTCCTTCAACATAGGTTCCTCAACAACATTGCTGGAGACAGAGTTACGTTCCAGGATCTGGTAAGTGTTCTGCTGTCTATTCCGACTCAAACACATCAATGACAACCCCGCAATAAGTATGCTACACGATAACACCACTGCAGTACTGATGACCTGCAAAAAAACAAATTCAATACTCTTCAGTGGGAGAAAGGGGGGGGGTAAGAAACATACAAACAACATGAACAAACTTTAAAAGGAAACATAGCGCTTTGATATGGAAAACTGGGTGGGGTGTGTGTTCTGCATTGTTTGATACAGCATCTTTCGAATGAGAAGTTAAAACCATGGCCCAGTCTGCTTATTGAGATGAGCATTGAAGAGACCAGGATTCACAAACTACACTAATCTTGATCTGAACTGAGTCACAGGTTTACCTGTTTCGCTAGTTTGAGAAATGTGTCCATCGGAGCACCAGGACAAGAGATAACTATTAGCATTTTCAACTCTACAGATTTCTGCAGGTGATTTTAAAGTTACAGTTACTTAATTCTCACCTGAGCGTTTCCATAAAAGAATGCTGAATCACAATCATTCCGTGTGTTGGGGTGCCCAGTAATCAACAGGATCCCCACGATGAGTGCTGGTATCCTGACCAAACAGAATGTGCCAACTTAAAGCTCGAACAATGGTATAATTATGTTGTGGTGTGTTATTCTTCAAGTTATGTAAACACACACGCACACACACACACACACACATATATATATATACATGCACACACATTATATACTGTAGGATTTGCTTTAATTTTGAAATTAACAATCAATAAAAAGTATTAAAGATCAGTTGTAATCCTTTCTAATCGTCCAGGCGACGTGCAATTCCTGCCATACAAGGATGTCTATACAACTCGCAATTTAGAACTCCACTGTTCATTTCTTTCAATAAACGATTGCACAAGTAAAACACTTGCTGCATCCCATCACGCAGCCTGAACCATGAAACGACCTGTACTTTTGGGTACTTGGCCAATATATTTGATGCCCTTTCATGCGTCAATATTCAGCTAATAAGTACAGCAAAGAAATCACTCATGAAATTACCACAATGAAAGGATTACGTACAAAATTAAATTCTACTTGGTATAGGGAAGAGATGAAAAATTGAAAGATTTTATTGTTCCCTTACCCCCATCCTGCAACAATGAAAAATCCACTTTGCTTAATCGTATTTTTTTCTAAGAGGAGCAATGATAATGCGATCAGACCTGTTGAAAGTAATTGGTTATCAATATGTTAAACATTATTTGGCGAGGTTTATCAAATCTGACAAAAACCTGTTTAGTAGTCACTCTCTGAGCACTTTGCAGCAGTTTGAGAGCCAATTAATGGAATTTTACAAAAAGCTGTAAACAGACTGATGGAACAGATACATTTCTTACTCATCATAAAATTATAATTTACATTAATATTTCAAATTATACCAGACTAAAGAACATTTAATTTCAGACGTGTCGTTAAACAACACAAAAGGAAGAAACATGAGCGAGCTAGTACACAACTAAGTCAAATTCAGAAAGCTAATGAGTCAAGCAAGATCAGCAGAACATTCTTCCTTTTTAATGTTATCTTATCACTTACCTGTCCATATGTATGTACTGTATAGAGAACTGTACAAAACAATGAACACCAGAACTTGGCCAAGGCGATAAGTTTGCTTGGTGATAAAATACCACATGATCATCCCCACAGAGACCATACACTGGAAAGCAATTTTAAGGACATTAATGGCAGGTCAATTGACAAACTAAGACTTGATTTTACTAGAAAAATAGCAAATGAGATTTTATGGTGTGGGAATATGATCAGGAAGCAAAACTGCATCGGTTATAGGAATATTACAATTAGGTATGACTGAACATCAGTCGCTAAATTAAGCAGAAAGATTGAAATATTATGTATACTGTCCATAACAGTATACTGGATTAAAAAAAGCCAAGACAGACTTTTTTTCCCTACAATCCTCTTTCTTCCCTTCACTCCATCCCCATTTAACTCTGACTATCCATCCTATCATCTTGGTCATGATTAGATTTTCTGGTAGATAATTGCAAGACAGGCACTAATACAGTTTTATAGACTCACCGACCAAGCAGTATATTGCAATATGCATCTCTTTGCTCTCAAACTCTCTACTTACCACACTCAAACTAAGATGAATTTGCATTAGAATGCGTTAACCATCCATGATTGCAGTGGGAGAATTTGATAGATAGATTAATTGAGAATAGTATAGCGTAGATACTGCAGTCGGGGGTAAGTAAGCATAAATAATATAAGATAATAATAATAATGCTTGCACTTGATATAGCGCCTTATCACGTCGTTGAGACGTCTCAAAGTGCCTCACAGAATATACTGTAAAGTGTAGTGACTGTATATTTTGTGGGCGAAACGTGGCAGCTAGTTGCATACAGCAATTAAAAACAGATTCAACAGCTACAGACTTACCTGTGCAAGCAGCAGGTTAACTGTAAAGAGGTGAGGCATTTGCTTGAACTTCTTGCTCAATAGCATGACAGCCAAAGACCAAATCTAAACAAAAATGGTTCACACATACGTCAGATCACTGGAGTTGGATTTCCTTTACTGTGTAAACAATATGCTTTACCTTTCTCAGGCTACTCTGAATTCAATTGTAATTCCAGAGGTTAATAATAATAAATAATAATCCTTGCATTTGATATAGCGCTTTTCACGTCGGGAGGACGTCCCAAAGCGCTTCACAGAACACACTGTAAAGTGAATTGACTGTATATTGGACTGTAATCCATTGCGGCACATAATTACATAATTCTCAACTTTCAGATTTTTGGACAATTTATCACCCACCCACCCTCAGCAGAATTACTCACTTATTTCGAAAAAAACAGAAGCGGTTATTGCTGATCATACATTTCTGTGTGGCCTACATGTTGATTATTATCTACATTTGTTTCAAAATCTGCTTAGTGCTTCAAAATGTTTACAAATGCATGTTTGAAATATGCTGAAGTTAATGCAAAACAGAGGCTTTTAATTCCCACCACCATGACATAAGAGATTCCAGACAGAAATTGCCGTTTGGACAATGTTATTGCTTGCACAATGTTTTCAGTCAATATGAAGTATGTACACACGCACATCGTTGATCCTACTGAATTGTGGCAATCAAATAGGCTGCATTTAAGCGAAGTAATTAATAAATCAACTATTGCACAAAAAAAATCAAACACCCATTAGAAACCAGTTGAAGCTTCAAATATGTCCGTAAACTATTCCGATACTTTTTATTGTCCCTTTGAAACAGGTAATAAGTAAAAAAAAATTAAAATCACAATCGTTAATAAGCTACTTTAAATACATAGTGGTGTGAAAGAATATTTTTTATAGAGGCTAGATACTAACCAGAAAAAACAGAGTGACAATACTTATATCAAAGCTGACACTCTGTAACGCAGATAGCAACAACTTTGCATGCATGGATGGAATAGTCAGGAGCCACGCAGACATATACATGATGGGAGCAGATACAAATGTATTTATCACCATCCCAGGCGTCACCTGCAAAAACAAGGAAAGATTTTACCCTTTCACAAAGTCACACAGAAGAACAAAAGGCAGATTTCTCAAAACTGGTTGAATACTTCATGGTTAATGGAGAATAATAATAATAATCCTTGCACTTGAAATAGCACCTTATGTCGTCGAGACTCTCAAAGCGCTTCACAGAATATCCTGTAAAGAGGATTGACTGTGTATATTGCGCAGCCCAATTGCTCATAGCAGTGTCCCACAACAGTCATGGATTGAGTGAACCATTTTGGGGGGTCGGATTATTATTATTTTATTTTAGAAGGGATTATTGCCCTCCTGAAAATGATCCGCCAATCGACTAACAACTGCTTACCCAATTTCCCAAGGTTTCGCCCCGCCTGGGAATCCAACCCATTGCAATGTACCTGATAAATTTAAGAATATTCTTCTAGGAGAGTGACTAAGGATGGCTTGTATAAAATCATCCAGATCATTACCGAGGGGAAACTGCACTTGCTGACTGGGGCCATATATTATGGAAGATTGCCCAGTGTAATCAAATTACATATTCTTTCAGTGATTTTATTTACTAGGGTTGAATAATGAAACATCAAGAGATCTATGCAACAAGATCCTGGGAAAAATGGCCACTTTACCGTTCCTCCTTATTATTTGCTTTTGCCATTGATTTTTAGCTAATGTTACTTTGAAAAACAAAAGCAAGTGTTTGGATATTTATCCCAATGTACTTACAATTTCCATTTCCATATTGTACTGACTTGCAAATATGGCTACACTTGGTGCTGTTGGGAAAACACCATATAAAAATGCATAGTTTGAAAGACTAGTGTAATTAGCTTCAGTATTGCCATTGTCCAGTAATTCCACCATTTCACGACTTATGAGAGGAAGTACCAATCTGGAATTATTAAAAAAAATTCCATCATTAATTCTTGAGAAAATGACATGAAACAAAATCCTGCATCACTGATCATTACACTGTTTGAGACTTGTTCTGAGCTAAAATCAAGTGCGTTAACTCTGACATTTTCAAATCCCAAATTTCCCCATCTAATTTATTGCTTAAAGGACTTGTGTTCTCATTTTATTTGCAGCACTGGATTGATAGCAAGACACGATCCCTTGCCATACGCATAAATGTCAAATTCGCACATTAACTATTTCAGTTATTGTCGGTTGTTTTACGATAATAATCCTTGCATCTTAGACAGCGCCTTATCACGTTGTTGATTTCTTTACATCCCCTGATCCTAATTACTTTTGAGATGGTAAAGGGAGTGTTACAACTTGCTGCAGAAACTCTGCAATTTCAACTGGTGTGGCCACTGCTCAATGGGGTAGTGGGTGTGTGACTGGGCTGTGGGCAGCAGAACAGTGGTGATGCTTTGACACATTTTATGCAGAACCAAAGGTTAATAGCTGCACTTGTCAGATGACTACCGACCAACCTACGGGGGGGAGGGAGGGGGGGGGGAGAGAAGGCAGATAAAATAAGTGGGTCTATTTGGGGTTCTGGTTTCTCGAAGACGAGGCCAAAATTTGATTTATAACAACCTTAGAAGACGTATTCACCTCTATAAAGGGTAAGTACTTTAGTCTGAACCTTTTTTTTGAATCCTCAGCAGAATTTGTACTAGACAAGGTTAAGGTAAATAACACTGGAGGGAGAGTTTGTCAAACAATAAGCCTGAAATGTAACAGACATGAAAAATAAACCGTATGCAGCACCCATCCAAAGCACCCATCAGAACACTTACTTGATAGGGCAGCACAAAATAAGATGAAGATAGTTGAAATATTTATAGCGCACAAAAAAAGATCATGTGTTTTCAGTCATCTCCTTTACGGAAGTATTTATCAATTAATAGATAGGTGTTACCCACTAAGTGACTACAAGAATGTTATCCTTCCACATATTTACTGAACCTCAGTTCCAGTTCCCACTTACAATTCCACTAACTACGCAGAATAGTAATAATGATGAGTTACTTGATTCAAATACTGTAATTTGATGAAAAATATCAAATTGCAAGATCATTCTACTTACAGTTTAGCTGTGATGAGGAGAATAATGGCAACAAATGAATTTTTTTTCAGTTTCTTGATCTGTCCCACCATTGTAAGTCCAAGATAAAAGAGTGCAGAGCCACTGAAAGAACTAGATAGACCATCCAGGAATTCTCCCATGAACACAGGGATCTTTTGTTTCAAGATAAAATTCCCACAGATTCCAACAATGACCATAAATACAATTGGGTTTTTGAAAACCTGAAATAGTACCAGCCCAATAGTCTTGAGTTTGCTTTGTTGGTGGGTTGTGTTTTCTTTCCATTTCTGGATCTCACAAAAGATGAAACCAATTGGATTTAACAACATCAGGGAGACAGGAGCCACCAGGTAAATGTACTGAAGATATTCTGGGTAAGTGTCTATGTACAGAGCCTCAACTGAAAACACAACACAGATTACTGACACACCACAATACACGGATCATAACACGAGATGAATCCTAACACAGAAAGTTTCTACGATAGTATTTTAGTACTCTAGAGACGCTTTGGTTCATCACATGGTTCTTTTCAAAACACGTACATACCACGCCAACATGTTATAACCCTTGCATTTGATATAGCGCCTTATCACGTCTTCGAGACATCTCCAAGAGCTTCACAGAATATACTGTAGAGTGAATTGACTATGTATTTTGTGGGCGAAATGTTAAACTGTAAGAGCAAGCTGAATGATGATGAATTGCTGAGTTAATAAAAAACTGTGGAAGGGGAAGCCAATACCATGACTCTGACTCAAAGCCCTGATTTAAACACTCAAGACTACATTTTAGATGTTTAGTCTTCAAATGCCGAGAGGTAACCATGCACCAGAATAACTAGATGGCAGGTTTGTTTTTAAATAATGTCTGAAACACAGTGATAACTGAATGTTTAAATTTCCCTTGTTTACTTCACAAACTAAAGCTCGGCATCAATTTATTGCAGTCACAATTGTTTTAAAGTTGCAATGTAAAATCACACCTTCACAAAGATTGAGAGATACTCGGCAGGCAAGCAAGGGATGGAACTTGCAATTTAAAATGAGCATTTTTTCTAATCTTTTCTTCCCTTAGATTGGGGGCCGTGAATGATGGACAATAAGCAATTAGAGGGGAATAGTTTTAACTCCTTACAAGCAGACAAACCACAAGACCTTCTTGCTGACTGTAACATCAGCAGTGACAGATCTGTAACAAACAGTCAATGGTGGAACTGTACAAGTTGTTTTTTCTGAATTTCTTTGTGAAAAAAAGCCCCAAACTTGTTTATACTTGATGGTCACAAGGGCTGGAAAGAGTATTCCTCCTAATCCATTTAGATGAAAACAAATTACTAACAGTTTTGCTAGTTTCATTTGGTAAACGTTAATGGAAAATGTTAATAGCAAAGCGAATACAAACAGTTTTACAGTATGTAAATATGAAACTTAAAATGCATCGGCACATCAAAACCTTGTATCTGAAGAAAGAAGTTGGTTCCATATTTTGGGACATTTCTTATCAACTCCCTAATAAGAAATGTATGCAATTGGCTGCCGTGTTTCGCCCACAAAGCATACAGTCAATTCACTTTACAGTATATTCTGTGAAGCGCTTTGAGACGTCTCGAAGACGTGATAAGGCGCAATATCAAATGCGAGGATTGTTGTTAAGAGTGGTGCTAAGAAAAGTCGAAAGCAGGTTGCTTACCTATAGGATATCCTAAGGCAAAGTCGTTGCTCTGCGTAGCAAAGATTGGGAAGAGGCCTGCTTTGCTAAATCGGTTCTCTGGGCTGGCTACCAGAAGGGTCAGAATGCAGACAATTATAAAAACAGCGACTTTGGCCACAAGTATACTTAAAAGGAAATTCCAGTTAACGTGAGTGAAGTCCAGAACCACCATGTTTTTGAAAAGCAGAGCAGGGAGGGCGAAGGTTGAGACAAAATTACCCAAACCTTTGGCCTGCGTGGAAGTAATGATGTTAATTCTCCCGGCGAAATAGCCGCAGAGAATTATGCCAAAACACTCCAACAATGCTGGGAAAAGTCTGTCTATGGACATCGAAGGAGCTGATGTCATGGAGGAGTTCATTGTGGTAGCCAGGCCCGCCATTACATCAACGTCCAATGGGAATTGTTCAGATGAATAGCCGAGACCATCCAGAGCAAGTCAATGATGAGCTTGATCATATATCAAATGAAGCTGTTCACTGGAAGGAGAAACAAAACAAATTGAACAGATTTTTGTTCCAGAATGCTAAACATTTAAACCCAAAGGGAGTCTCGAATACGTGAGTATGGTTTGCCGACTGCCACCACGCCCACAAATGGTCCAAAGCAACAGTGCATTGAACCCAAACATTGTCTGACCCTAACCCAATCGTACCTTTGCCCATCTACACTTCCAAAAGTTATTCGGAGGAAAGGAGGGTATTTGGTGCCAGTAAACAGTCAATCACTGGTCAATAATTTCTCTCATCTCCAAAGTGGAACATTACAGTCTCAGGAAAAGTAACAGTTTCGTTTTAATAAAACGTTATATATATATTAAGCAGAATTTAAAAGTGAAACTGATTAGCGGGAACAGAATGAGCAAGTGGGACCCGTTGAGGGATGGCTGGATTAGCGGAAGTGTTTTGATTATTTCAGATTTGATTATTGTTATTTAGGATTGAAACAATTTTTTAAAAAATAAACTGCAACTCACGTTGATTTTCATTACTTTATTATGTGTTTTTATTTTACTTCGGAGCAAACATATGTGCAGAATTACAAATAAGTATGGAACGGAGTGGAAAACATATCCCTACACAAACAGGATGCAATAACAATGTATCCATGTCTAATAAACAATACATATAATTCGTAATAGCGCTAGATTTAAGCTGAAAACGTAAAATGGTCAGTCCCTAAAACCTAGAATTCCCAGGACCTACAAGTACCCCAAGGGTTAACAACTGCCACTTTCTGCACTTACCATCATTGTTTGACTGAACAAAAAGGTTACCATGGCTTTCTCAGGAATCCACATGCAAGATTAAGGCATTCTGTCCAAAATATCTGGGCCAGCATTATACCTGCCTGGCTTCAATGTGGTTCGACGAGCTCTGTCATATACAAAGAGCAGAAAATAAGTAAGTATTCAACCATCAGAAAATTGGTATATGCAATACAAACGCAATTTTAAAAGGCACTCAAAATGCAAGTTTATTTTCTTTATAGAAGTAACAGGTCTTACACTTAATTATACATTTTCCCCAAATATGAACATAACCATACTGTTGGTTGAAATATCAAGGCGTTTTTTGTATTTCCCTCATCTACGTACTCTTTCTGATAAGAGATGACTCAACAACAACAAGATTTCATTTATAGAGCGCTTTTCACGTCGGGAGGACGTCCCAAGGCACTGGACAGTTGGGTCGGGACTCACCCTTATAGGGATGGAAATAGTTGCCATTTTATTGTTGGAAGCAATAATAAGTAACTTCCAGCAGATTAAAGTAACTTCATTTTGGTACAATAAACCTGTGAGTCATTTGTAAGATGAGATCATATACTATAGGTTGTTGTCACAAAAAAAAACTGACTCACTCGAACCAAATGCTGTCAGGATTCAATATCATTGTAATGTTACCTACACGTTCACATAAGAAAAGTGCAAGTGGATTTACTTAGGCAGAGAGCAATTAGGGTTAAAAAAAATCTGAACTTTAGCCTCAAGGTTAATGACATTCAACAGAGAAGATAAAATATACAGTTCAAAAATTGGAAAATACAGCACAAAATAGTGTGGCCTGAGTAAAAAAAAATTGACATCCATCTTAATATTGAAGTAGGATTAAACTATATAGCTGTCATCCTCAAGCAGAGATTGGAAGTAGAAAAGTACAAGACCAAAGAGGTAATGCAGACAAAGCATTGGGATTATTTATACAAATGACAATTTAAACAAATTCACAAGCATGTATGAATCCGATCAAATCCCAAGCTACTCCTTATCTCCGTGATGAGTAGATCTTAGAGAAAACAAAGTTCTAGATATCTGGAACAATTCAAAAAAATTGTGCAAACAGAAAAATATCTGAGTAAAGGGTAGTTTATTTATTTCAGTATGAGGAGACTGCTTCTCTCAGGAATTACCGATGTAAAAGTTACCAATTGCTCAGAACTAATGGGTTGATATCACAGGTCTGATAAAGGGTGGCAACCAAAATGCTAATCAATCTCTTTCAGGTACTGCTCGACCTGCTATGGATTGCCAGCATTTTATGTTTCTCTTTCAGATTCACAGTATATGTAATTTTGCTTCTTATCTGGGCAGGTGACATAGTCCTGCAAATATGATAATGGCTTAGAGCAGAGTCACACTGAATAATAATAATAATCTGTTGCTTCTGGAAGTTCGGTCAAAGTTAACTGCTGCCTGTAATCTTTACTTGTATTGAAATTGTTTTATGTGTAAGGGGGTAAGGAAGCTGTTTCTTTGGAACAGGGTTGGCTCCAAGATGAAATGCTTGGCAATGAAAGTTTGGTATTAAATTGATCGTTTGTGGCAGACTCAGTTTGTCTCAGACTCGAGTAGTGGCGAGCTGTGGATATTTAGCTGGTCAAACTTCATCAGACTCTAAAAATCACACGACGGGTGTCTACAATCCTTGGCTTTTGCCAACCTGGACCTACATTCTTCAAGATAAGTGCAATTCTCTGGGAAGAGAGTACACACGCCAGATCAGTCAATTGGAAGCACACATTCATAAAGCACGGTGATGGGCTTCTCTGTGTGTCAAACAGCAGATTGACCAATAGAAAAGAGGGAGTAATTACGAATCACAATTACAATTTTATCAACATTAATACAGACTCAACTCGCAATTCATAATTACTGGGATGAGCTACTTTTCTAAGTCATCCCTCTGCCTGGTCACCAGCACCCCCCCACCCACCACCACCTTATCGCCATTTAAATCTAAAATGTTCAACATTAGAGAAGCAACAATAGAAGAAGTATTTTTAAAAAAAACCTATGTTGCTCTAAAAAGGTGTCACTTTAACTAGATGTCACTGCAAAGAAAGAATGAATGTTGATTATGTAGTTGTACCACAAAGACAAGTAGAGCAAGTCACATGTAATGTATTCAAAGGCAGACACACAGAAAAATTAGAAATATTTGAACATGGCCACTTCATTGTTTTTCAGAAATACTGATAGGATCAGTAGATGAGTGCATAATTATCTCCATCTACCAGATAATCGGCGGTCTGCAAATATATTTTTATTGTCCTTGGACAAGTCCTCTGGCGTCATCTACTTCACTCTTAAAAGCAGAAAACATAATAAGTGTCCATTGGATATATTACCTTTTACGTAAGGAATTTTTCAGTGATACAATTCTCCTCGTCCTTTCCAAGTTAACCGCTCAGAGGCTGATCAACTGGCCTAACTAACTCCACTGCTGCTGTGTAAACCAGTCGATAGCAGATGTGCATCGATAGCTCAGGGTAACTAACTCAGTGATTTGTGTTCCCTCATTCTAGCAAAATACCTCATCTCTTCTTCCTTCAAATTACATAGCTGTGGTTGGAAGCCATCAGGCAGCACAACCACTGGTGCAAACCGACATTATTACTGTACTCCGGGAGTGATCTGGTCCATAGCACCCAAAACAAGGACAAGTTGTATGCCATTGTTTCGGGGTAAGACATCTACACAATGAGATCAAGTACTCGCTGAAAAATTTATTTCAAAAGGAAGTATTAAGTGAATATTCCTTCCAGCTTCCACGTCACGTTTAAATACAGCACAAAAAATATTTATGCTTTTTATTAGCAGCTTCTATGAAGGACACAATGGGAGGTTATTGGCCCGGCAAGACTCCAGGAGAAACACCCTTTTCTTTTCGAGCAGTGTCATGGGATCTTTCAAATCAACTCGAACAGACAGTTGGGACCACAGTTGGATGTTTTATCTGAAGGGGGGCACCTCTGGTAATCATTTATTTCGAGAGAATAAACTCATATTAATTATTTTTTTGGGGGGGGGGTCTGGTCAGCCAAGTGACTGACACATATGGCAACCCATTGTGATGATTAATACTATTCAAAGCAGATGGGTTTTCACACGCATGCCACCGCCCTTTCTACGGAATGATTTGAATGCTCTCTTCCTGGAGAAACCAGCTAAAATGGTGTAACTTGCTATTGTGAACATAGTCTTGGCGCTGCCTGTCTACCTAGGACCACCCGACTAGCTAGGGCTTCAACCTGCTGGGTTTACGGGAGCAGTGAGGTAAGAATCATTGCTCCCGAGTCACAGAAGAATGACTCAAACAGAAATGAAGTGAATGATCAATTTTATCTGGGAGGTTATTGGCCCGGCAAGACTCCAGGAGAAACACCCTCTTTTTTTCGAGCAGTGTCATGGGATCTTTCAAATCAAGTCGAACAGACAGTTGGGACCGCAGTTGGATGTTTTATCTGAAGGGGGGCACCTCTGGTAATCTAGCGTTCCCTTTAGCATTGCATGGGAGTGTCAGGCTAGACTGCTGGTTTTTGAAACCCTTGTTTTAGACACCAGTGTACAAACATAATTTGTAGCAATTACTGTAACAGTAGCAAGTCAACTTACGCTGTGGTTTTAGCGATAAAACTCTTTCTGCTGAAATGTTGTTGTAAACATCAGTTATCAGAATAAGACTGACACTGCTGATCTATCCTGCAAGTTTACTTTTCTTTAGAAAACCAATTATAAATAAGGGAAAAATGATCAACTGAAATCAATGCATTCACAATAAGCATTATAATTGTAGCGTGAACTTCAATTGGAAGCTTTACCATTCCACAACAATAAAGAAGAGCAGAAATCAAATACTACAGATTATAAAAACAATCGTTCGGGACAGTAACTTTATACATAAACTTGATAAACTTCCCTTATTTTCTGGACAGGGTGGCGTTACTCAAGCTACTAAACATGCCCTCCCATAAACAGCAAAGTAAAAAGTACAAAAGCACTATTTTAAACACCACAAATTTCTACCAGTACTTTGTGTGGGTGGAAACAAAGATTGGGAAGGACAGAGGGCAGAACAGAGGGGAAGAAACTGCACACACCCAAAACAGAAAAAAAAGGCATGTCGCTGCATTAAGAGATCCAGTTGTCATACAATAGCGTCTGTGCCGTCATCAATGTATGTTTATACGTATAAAAATGTCCAAGATAGAGGTCAAGACCAGATTCAAATTTCATTGAATATACCTATTAAAAATACATTCAGATTAGTTATACTTAACCATATATTTCAAGCCAATAATGTATTTGTGGGGAATCAGGCAACATCAAGCCGCAACAGCAAAACTCACACAATTTAGAAACATCATCTAAACCCTGTGTTCTTCTTGCCCTGATGCACATCCTAAATAGGTTCCCTAAAAGCACTCCTTCCGAAGTGAAAGGCGCCACATAAATGTAGTTTGTTGTAGTTGCTGGTAAATTCACAGATGAGTCATTATGTTTCTTAGAACACACAAGCATCTCAGTCGTGTATGTACATCACAGATCATAGTCCTCAAACAGATAACACATTTGCCTGTTCTTTTCTATATAAGTTATTCAAAGTAACATTAATGACTTTATGTTCCACATATTCACTACGTTGAATTTTTTTAAAATTCACTTCGAACCTTATTTAGTTCGAACTTTCCAGTTATGCTCTGACTGTCTAAATGAGACAACCAGATGTCAACTTGGATCAGTAAATAGGAATACTGTATTTTCTTTGTATTAGAAGATGGGGGTGATGGAGGGGAATCAAACCCCATGCCAGGACTTAAGTACATAATCCAGATGAAACTTTACAACAATTTGCACTTATACAGGACTCCTATCACAGGGTAGAGACTCAGAGCATTTGAGAACTTTAGTGCAGTACTGGGGGAAAATTTCGGCATTGTCAGAGGGTCCCCCCTTACTTTCCAATTCAATGTTACACCGAAATCCTGTCTGTCTGCTCAAGTGAACGTTAAATATCCCGCGACACTACCCAATAACGGAAGGAGTTTTCTCCCAGTGTGTTGCCCAACACACAATTTTCCAGACAAATTTAAGTTGGTTCATATCATTTTCCTTTTCTTACCCTTCCTTTCATGTTGTTCACTGGAACCTTCCAACACATCATGTGTGTGGAAGAGTAAATATATATATATATCTATATATTTTAAAAATAAGTTTTGGAAAGAAAGTGGGACGCCAATGATTAGGCAAGGTTACAAACTGGCATTTACCAACCAGTACTTTAGTATTGTGACATCCCAACTGTGGTGGTGTCAGCACACACTTAATCCCTCAATAGAACAATAATAAATAATAATACTTGCATTTGATATCGTGCTTTTCACGTCCTCCGAGACGTCTCTAAGCGCTTCACAGAGTATTCCGCAAAGTGAAATGCCTGTACATTTGTGGTTGAAACAGTCTCTTTAAGTGCAAGAGGGCAGGAGCACGTACCCTCTTACACCTCTATATTGAAACCAAGTACACAAAAAAAAAGGAAATATTCACAAAGCAACGCCCTGCAGATAAGCAATGGGTTATTTAGCATTTGTTTTTTTTTGGGTGGTGGGGGGGTGGGGGGCAAAAGATCCATGTGGGGTATTAGTAATGGTGAGAGCAAATGCCCTTCAGTTGCCTGGTTTTACCCATCAACAGAACACAGTGCCACAGACAAAATCTCTGCTGCAAGTCAGTCAGTTACCCTTTTTTTTTGTGGGTGGGGGGTGAGGGGTGGGGGGGGGGGGGAGAAAAATGAATGTGGCAAAACCTGGCAATGAATATTCACACTCAGCAACGTTTTCACATGGGATTGGGTGGAGGGGGGAGGAATGTGCAGGAGGGCAGAGAAGCCCAGGGGTGGGTGGGGGGGTGGAGGGTGGAGGGGTGACTCCATACCCACAGACACTGCTTCTCAGCACAAGATACTCACTGACAGAGCAACAGAGAGTGGTGACTGTGGGACAGGCACAGCTGCTGCTGACCTTGGATGCTCCTCCAGTGCTGGGCTGTTGCTCTCTCAATGCAGCAAACCTTCTCTCTCTCTCTTCTCTCTCTCTCCTTCCTCTCCTTCTCTGTCCAGGCAAACACACTCCCTCCCTCCCTCCCTCCCCGGCAAAGAGATCTGCCCACTCACACTCACTCACTCTGAGATAGACAAGTCCTGTAGACTAATCCAGTCTCAGCAAAGGGGCAACCAGTCAGACTGAACCCCAGGCTGGTTGTGTGTGTGTGTGGGGGTGGGATTGGGGGTTAGTGATTATTTGGGTCTGGGACATGTGTGTGTGTGTGTGTTTTTTTTATTTAAATGGTATTAAATTGTGTCCCTGTTTTTTTTAATTTTTTTTAATTTTTTAAAAAAAATTTTTTTTTTTGCCTGGAAGGAAGAGATTTGGTTCAGGGCTATTTTCAGTGAACAAGACAACAGGGACTTTCATGCTCACCCCCCCCTCCTCTCCCCTCCCACTCCCCGCCCTCCCCTCCCCCTCCCCGCCCTCCCTCCCTCCCCTCCCCCTGGTTTCCGATGTGAACGTTAGATAATGGTCACGTTGTTTCGTAAATTCTGGTTGCACAAAAAGTAATCGAGTCATGCGCTTTGGTTCGTTTGCTTTTGGTTTAATTGTTCCGCTGTTTGCGTAACTGTCATCAAAGAGAAGCGTCACGCTATAGTCAATTATTATTACAAATATAGGACAATAAACAAAGGAGGTGAACGGTGAGAAATTGCTGTCGAATGAGCGCTGGCTGATTAACTTGACTTGTTCGTATCATTTACTTAGCAGCAGTTATCAACATCTTCTGAAACACTTCTTTTTTTTTTGCACGCGGGGCAGAGAGACGTGGGATCATTTACGTCCCGATCTCGTGTTCCGTTGTAACTCTATTTGAAATAACGATAGGATACATTTTCGAATGTAACTCGCCATACATCGAAACTCCAAATCATATGACAATCATGACTCAACATAACCAACACGAACACCATTACTAGTTTTGTTCTTCCATTATATGAATCAAAATCAATATTTTTTATTTTATTATAAGTGAAGCCTTTGGGCCTCAGGATAACCAAAGCAGAGAGCTTGCAAGTTTCTGGACAGAGCAATGTAAAATTTTGACTGAATTCAATGTCAAATTTTTCATTAAGAATCAGCTGAAGGACATGTAGGAAAAACCTGAATTCAATGTTCCGTCTGAAAGACATCACCTCTGACAGTACTCGCACATACCGAATCACAAGCGAACCTACACACTGAGCTCGAGTCTCAATGTTGTATAAAGAGCCACCTCCATCAGACGATGGGGTATAAAGAATAAATGTGGTATAAAGAGCCACCTCTGAATTATAGGCAGGAGCGCTACCAAATGCAGCAAGTTAGCACAGTACTTAAAGATGCACTATTCCCTCCACGTTTTCTGATTATTTATTGCTATCGTTAACATATTTAAGAGGAAACGTAATGCCTACGTTAGGGGAAACGAGTCGAGGGGTATGGGAGAGGGGAATAGGAGGGGGCGGAGGCTCGTGTGGAATATAAAGACGAGCGTTGGCTGGATAAAATTGGTCTTGCATCTTTAACTGATTACCTATCCGAAACAATAACGTTGTGTGACCAAAGTTAAACATCTACAGTTACTTATCACTTCAGTTCAGAATGTTGCGAAGTTAAACCATCATGTTGTTGGAGCTGCAGTGACTGGGGGGAGAATTGATTGTGATGTTCTGCTGTTTCCCCCACAGTACTTGGCAGCTGGTCTACACAGTCATCTTTTATTCACTACAGCATTAGTGTGAACCTGCACTGCTACCATTCTGGGACCCCAAACAAAGGGCAATACTATAATCATAATAACCCTTTTCAATTGATATAACCTCTTATCACGTCTTCGAGACGTCTCAACGTGCTTCGCAGAATATACTGTAAAGTGTAGTGACTGTATATTTTGTGGGGGAAACGCAATCGACTAACCACCGGGTTCCTACTTCCTGCTGGGTAAACAGAGGCATGTGTGTGGAGGAAGGAAACTTTGCCCCGCTCTTCTCATAAGTATCCGCACCTTTGTTTCACTGGTGCTTTCATTCAATTGTGTGTTTATTAGCGCTGGAGCTCAGCTTCAACCTACCAAATATTGCAGTATTTATTGCTTTGAAATCTGCTGCCAAGGTAATGGAGTTCATCTACGTCACCTTTGATGAGAGTTTTCAGTAGGCGAGTTTTTCTCTGCTTGCTGAAACCCTACCTTTTGCGTCTGCTCTGAAGCCATTCTAAAGTGGTTCAAGGACATTGATTCAATTACATTTATTTTATTGAATACAATGCCTCAGGCATTCATCCACGTTGCACAGACAGACAGACAGGACAAAGTACCTGAATTCACAAGGACGTTTCCTGAATTTGTATAATTTCAAAATCATATTACTACAAACTAATTTCACGTAGAACTGCCAGAAACAGAAAACTTTCATCCCATTATTTTGTACTAGATTTGATTCTATGTCAAAGCACTAATCAACTGTTCCACGCAGAGGGCAAAGCGAGAGTCCTGGGTTTGATTTCTGGCATGGCAAAACCTTGGGCAAGTTTTCTTACTCCACACCCCGATAATGATCCCTCAAGAAGAAAAAAAAACAATAATAAAATTGGTCACTTCAATCCACGACTGTTTGTGGGACATTGCTGTGCACAATTGGCTCACTTCGCAGAAAACAACATTTTGTGTTAAAGAGCTATAATCAAATGCAAGGATAATGGTTAAAAATACAATTCCTAGCAATATTATGACAGCATCACCATCCAAGGATCCACACTGCACCTCACTGAGCCAGTCCGGAACATTGGCATTGTGTTTGACACTCAACTATCCTTTCTACCCCACATCCATGCCATGACCCCCTCTGCCTTCCCCCACCTCTGCAACATGGCCAGGCTCCGCCACTGCCTCACATCACAGGCCGCCGAGACCCTCATACATGCTTTCATAACATCCAGGCTTGACTATGCAAACTCACTTCTTGTCGGCCTCCCCAACTCCTCCCTCCATAGGCTGCAGATCATCCAGAACTCTCCAGCTCCTGTCCTCTCCCGCACCGTAGGCGCCGTGACCCTCTCACCCCCATCCTCGCCCGACTCCACTGGCTTCCCATCACACAGAGGATACAGTTCAAGATCCTGGTCCTCACCTTCAAAGCCCTCCATGGTCTTGCTCTCCCTTACCTCTGCGACCTCCTAAGCCCCTACCATCCTGCTCGCTCCCTCTGAACAGCGGGCCCAGCCTTCTTCACAGCCCCCCGCCTTGCTTTCTGCCACTCTACCCCCAACCTCTGGAACTCCATCCTGCAGTCCCTCTGCCTCACCCCCTCCCTCGTCTCCTTCAAGACCCATCTCAAGACCCTCCTCTTTGACCATACCTTCAATCACCCTCCTTCCCCCATTGCCCTCCACCCTCCTCGATCCCGACCCCCAGCTCAGGTCTGAAACACTGATTGTCCAGGGCCTTGGGACGTCCTCCCAACGTGAAAGGCACTATACAAATGTAATTTTGTTGTTGGTATGTACAGTATATAAAAAACATTGCCAGTTTTCTGCATAGGTCTTAGCATTTCTGGTGTGATTCCAAATACATCAATTTTCTACACACTTCAGCTTCCCATTAATTTTTGTGTCATGTCCAAATCTGATTAGACTATTCCAGCACCTACAATACCAAGTACAAATACTAGTCACGGCTTTTTAACTTTTGATTCACCTTTTTTTTCCTCAAATCATTTAAAAATATAGCTCGGGTTTGATTTAGGTCTCCCTAATTTTCTCCCTTCACCACTCCTAATACTCGTTTATGGTTCCAAGACATTGGAAGCATTTCAGTAACCTCCCACACACTGACATTCTTTGTAAGAGTAAAGATAAGTCGATGCAAACTATTCCACTGTTAGAGGCATCATAACACTACCTCTGCTCGCACCTGAAATCCGCATGTGCAACAGGAACTAATTAAGTTGTAAGAAAGTTTGTATTCAGTGCTGGTTAAATTACATTAGTTTGGTCAAATAGAAGCACGTACACATACTGTTATTAAGTTCATTACTGCCATCTGCTGATGGCATTCATCTCTGCACCTGACAGCATTTCCTGATTTCCTGAAGGCTAAAATGACATGTTTTTGCTAAAACTAAGAGACTATGAACAGTGCAATTCCTGTATAATAATAATAATAATCCTTGCATTTGATATAGCGCTTTTCACGTCGGGAGGACGTCCCAAAGCGCTTCACAGAACACACTGTAAAGTGAATTGACTGTATATTTGTGGGAGAACGCGGCAGCCAATTGCGCACAGCAATGTCCCACAAACAGTCGTAGATTGAAAATGACCAATTTATTGTTTTTGGAGGGATTATTATTAGTCTCTGTGTGGAGTAAGGAAACTTGCCCAAGGTTTTGCCCTCTGCCTGGAATTGAACTCAGGTCTCTCACTTGCAAAGCGAGTGCTCTAACCACCGAGCTACAGGACTCCTGTAGACCTAACTTTATTATTCTTAAAAATCGTTTTTACGGTTTTATTTTACATTTGAACGTCACACTTTTGTTGGATTATGAATAACAGCATATTAAGTCAATTGCATTTAAAGAAAATGTAGCACGAAAACTAACACAAACCATGTATTCATCTGTTGCGGCTATGTCATGCGCTTCTTAAAAAGCGAGTTAAACTTTATCCCCACAAAAAGACTTATGCAAAAGCAACATACAATTGTTAGATTTTTTTTAAAAAAACTTTTGTCCATTGTATGATGGCGGGTCAATGGGAAAAAAATCCCTCTCAGATTTCTTAATTCAGGTGACGCCTCAAACTCCCACAGCGAATATTCAAATGAACCTTCTTGAACAGGAATACAATATTACTGTATTCAATCACACAAGATAATAAAGTAAATACTCCGCTCTTTCAGCAACAGTGCGTGGGAAGGAAACAGACTGCTCTCTGAGCAGATGGATTTGAATCAGACACTGGATTGCTGGCAGCAACTGCATTGATGCAGAAATATTGGGAGAGAGGATTTAAAATGGGAAAACTATTTATACAGATGATCTCAGACATGTAACAAGAGCACGAGGCACCACCAATGCTAGTAATACATATGGGGAGTGGGTAAAGTGCTGGATGGAAACTAGGGCCAATGGAACTACACAGGATGAGAAAACAGTGCAAAGGAGAAAACTGCCAGGCAGGTTTGAGTAGTTTTAAACAAGGTTAGCATTGGCTGGAGAAAGTAAAACAGAGTCCAAAAGGACAGGCTGTTAATGTTATACTTACCTGGTTATAATTTGATGGCTGGATTGGAAGTCAGGAAATTCACGATAGCAGCCGGGGCAAATGAACAGCAAAGAAGTAATTCATTTACCAGTCCTGGTGCAATCATTTGGAAATTGAGGGATATTCTTAAAAATGATCGAGTTTCAATAGGTAAAAAACACTTTCATTTTATTGATAATTATAAAGTACCTCATGTGAATTTATATATGTTTTAATTATTCAGAGATAGAATCTGTATCCTTAAAACAGATAATCCTTTAAATGATGTATATTGGCACAGTACATTCCTTAAACGCAGCAGTCATAAGCACATTTATTTACTCAATCTTTGGTTTAAATTAAACTCAAACTAGCACCACAATATTCAACCCAATACATATGGCACCTTCAAAACACAGTATTTTAGGAGCTCTGTAATATCGTTTCTATTATTAAGCATGTGATCTATACAAATACAAAATCGACAAGGTACAAAAGTTAATTCTTGTGACTAATACTAGTTTTCTAATGCTTTCAATGAATACAAGCTTTCTTTTTAACCTTACAAATCTTTGGCTTCCCAATTCCACACCAGGTAGCTTGGAAAAAAAAAAACGTGATTTTTAAAAAAAATTTAAATTATATTCGAGGACATAACTTCAAGAATTGATTGAATGTGAAGTACTTTATTAGAAGACATCAATCATACATTGGAAATGCAACTGCTACTGTATATACCATTGAACACAATAGGTTAAAGACATTTTTTGCAAAATAGATATATTTATTTTCATCCACAATGTTGGTTTTGTAAACAGATTTAGCATGTTTTACAATAAAGCAGTCAAAAATGGCAAACTTTCTTTTTTAAAAAAAAATCCAGATGTTATTTAAACATCACAAAATGCAAAACAATTCTCAACAGACACCGTTTCAACAGCTGATACGAGCTGGGACTGATAGAAATAAACTTATCATCACTGTAACAACTGTGTGCAGGTAAAGCATGTGAAGTGGATGGCCTTCTGAGGTTGAGTCCTGAAGAACAAGGTCCGTTTCACCTGGGTATAGGCGGAAGGGGTGGAGCCCCTCGTTCTCTCTTACCCGAATCTGTTCCAATAAAACATTACAATTAATGGAAGGCTTCTACATTTGTGGAAGTTAGTATCCAATTCTTCAGTGTTAAAACAAAACAGCTATAATAATATAGCTATATTATGAAGGAAGGAAACTAAATAGTAGCTGACAATAAAAAACAATAATAAAATCGTAGACTTTTGAGTACGCAACCAAACAGTCAGGAGAAGATTCAAAACAAAAACTCCTCTGTTGCTCCTCCCCAAGGATAGTCCAATTGAAACCGGAAGTTTTAGGTTATAACCGATACCACTCAATGAGCAACTTTAATAATTTGCCACGCGCCAATTTTTTTTTCCTATAAAGCATTTCTTACCAAATCACTGCAAAACCTCACTTCTACTTTGCATAGGCATTGCAATCTTATTCTGAAAAGTCGACGAAATTATCAGGGGATTCTTGAAACAAAGAAGCCAACTTACAAAACGTTTCCAATACAAAGTGTATTTGTTTCACGTTGCAACACGATTTCTAAATGGACAGTATCTATCGGATTGAATCATTCTGTCAAATGGAGGGAGAGAGGGTCAAGCAGAAAAAAATCCCCTCGTAATCCCTTGGTATTCTCAAATGTATTTTTAAAAATACTATTGAAGTTTATTTTTTTTTTAAAAAAATAATGATTTCAAAAGGATTCATTTCAAATCGTATCTGGAACATTTAACCTCTGCTGCTCACCTCTGCTTTCCACCTTGCCTTGTTTACTAGGATACGTCTTTTGGGTGTTTAAATAAGGTTCTGGTGGTGGGAATTCAGAGATGGAGTGGAAAGAAAACCTGCATTCCCATTCATCTGTGAACAAAACAAAAAATTAACAGTAAAGTCAACTCTCTGAATTTCTACAGTAATGTGGCTAATTGTTGCACATTTTTACATGATGGTTCAAACTTGTTAAATACTATTTGATTCAGTATAGATATATATACTGTATATAAATAATTAGCAATAAATTCCGCAGCTAGAGTATCTTTTTGTAATGGGCAGCATAACTTTATTGTCCAACTCAGTCAGACCTTCATTACTGAGTACATCACTCACTCCATATCATATTAGCAGAAGCCTAAAAATCAGGCTCGTGAGTGTGCACCTGACTGGAGAATACGAAAAGCGGAATGGGGCCAATGCGAATGTTTGTGGAGTCCTGTAGCTCAGTGGTTAGAGCACTCGCTTTGCAAGCGAGAGATCCAAGTTCAATTCCAGGCCTAATAATAATCCCTCCAAAAACGAAACAATAATAAATTGGTCATTTTGAATCTACGACTGTTTGTGGGACACTGCTGTGCGCTGCCGCGTTCCCCCCCACAATATACAGTCAATTCACCATCATCGAAGACAAAAACTGTCAATAAAAATACTGAGCATTATTCACATTCCTAGAAAAAGAAGTTACTGTAAAAGTGTGGGGACCCTGAACAAAAGAATTGGTGAAGTGAAGGGAGAAGATAGTGCAGGGGAAGGGGTAGAGAAAGGAACGTTGCATTTACCTTCACACATGGACTGTGAGGATTCCTGAAACCCATTTCTCATTGGTGGTGGGGGAGGGGGAGGCCCTGACCCACCTCGGTCTGGGGGCAGTGGGGGTCGGAAACCACCCCTATTTGGTGGCTGTGGGACAGATGGTGCTTTCTGGCTGCTTCTGCTCGAAGGAGGCGGTGGAGGTTTAAATCCTGCTATTAAAGAAAAAAAAGGTGAGTTTGTGGAGTCTCTACGAGTCTACTTATGAATCTATAAGATTTCCAAAGGAATGACTGCGCTTTTATGTAAATTGATAAGAATTAACATTGCAACTGGAAATTTCAATTGTATTTTATTAACACACTATAAAATAATAGTTTGTAGATGGCAGTATTTTTATTCAATCCTGCCCAAACAGGTTAATGTACAAAAAAAATAGAGCCAGCAGCGACACGATGAGCCAAATGGCCTCCTTCTGTGCTGTTTGATTCTATGATATTCCATTATATTTCAGCATCTCTGCATTATGTTACTGGCTGCTGTCACTTGGAGAAATCCCTTTGTGATTCCCCGAAAACCTCATTATCGGTATTTGAACACATCTGATCCATCTCTAACAGGTGTTTCCGACCATTTATTGGCCAAACCTCACGACTACTACTAGTGATGAACCATTTATCCATACATTGGTTAGTCATCTCTGAAATGGGATTACGATTGGTTAACACACCTGATATGCTGGGAGGATCTCTCATAGGAGGTGGCGGCCTCTCATTAAAAGGAGGTGGAGGGAGAGGGCCAGCCCGGACTGGTCCAGGTGACGAGGATGGAGAAGGCACGTGGAGAGACAAATTCCGCTGTGGAAGCCTTGGTGTGTCGTGATCTGCAGTCGGAGCCAGTCCTGGTCGGTTTGGTGGTGGTAGAGGAGGGCCCTGGAATGAAGGACCTGGCCTTGGTGTTTGAGGGACAGGAGGTTTATGATTTTGTGGCGGTGGAAGTGGAGGGCCCTCCCTGCTGAGTGAGGGTCTGTTTACTATAGGTGGGGGTAGGGGCCTATCATCTGTCATCCTATTAGGAGCAGGAGGCAGCGGAGGTCTGTTTGTACTGGGAAATGGAGGGTTTGATGGAGAAGGCCTATCATCAGCTATCCTGCTGGGGGTGGGAGGTAATGTTGGTCTGTTTCCAGTGGGAAGTGGAGGCGTTGATTGAAAAGAATGTCGTGAAGATCCTTGTTGGCGGTTCAGAAATGATGGAGGAGCTCCTGTGCTGATCGGTCGATTGGATCCTGGAACAGGTGGAGGACCTCTGGACTGAAAATTTGATGGCCTTGGTGTGTTTGGTACCGGAGGTGGCCCTAAATCAGGCTTTGAACCCAAATTAGGCTTCGAACCCAGATCAGACCTTGAAAACTTTGGTTGACCTGATGGAGGGAATCTATGTTTTGGTGGCTCATTATCATTGCTTCTTGGGAAAGACCCAGGAACTCTAGGTGGAGGAGCATTGCTTCCTGCAAAGGGCCTGGGGGTAGGGAAACCCGTACCAGGAGGCAGAATTGGTGCTCTCCCTCCTCCTGGAATCTGTAGGAAGAAATGCACATTTATTTAATATGCAAGAACAGAATTCAATCAGCGTCTTTGTCCACCAATAAATTGCTGATGCCGATCTTTGTGTTTTGTAAATGGAAACCTCACAACCTGTATTGTGTTGATGTTTTTTCTTTTGGGTGAGCTGAGTGTCTGGCACATGGGGAAACCCATCAAGAGTATCCAAACCAAACTGAGAATTCCACGCCTCTCACCTACACATGGAAATCCCAGAGATGGATAATTGGAATGCGCTCTCTTCCTGGAGTGAAACTGTCTGCATTGAGTTTTGTAAGTAGAATCACCAAACATACTTACCATTAATTGCAATTCAATACGAAACATTATCACTCAAACACCCTACCTGCATGGCACAGGCAACACTGATTCAATGAGGTTTCCACATAAAATATCACTAGGTTTAATAAACAGTTGATTGAAGGATCGCTTTTCCAGGGGTAATAATCCCTTCAAAAAACATAATAATTTGGTCACTCAATCCACAACTGTTTGTGGGACACTGCTGTGCGCAATTAGCTGCTGCCATTCACCCACAAAATATACAGTCAATTCACTTTACAGTATATTCTGTGAAGTGCTTGGAGATGTCTCAAAGAACATGATAAGGCGCTATATGAAATGCAAGGATTATTATTACAACATAAATCTGATTCAGAGCTCTGGTCATTGATGCACTGACTGCAATAGAAATCACAGGACCATTTCTTCAATCACATTAAACTAATGACCATTCCTTACTAGTGATCTGGCTCTGCACCTGTGCAGTCTCCAGCAAAAGCAATTTGGAGGTTTAAGGTGTAAATACCGTTTTCCGCTCAGAATTACTCTACTGCCACAGGTAAAGATGAATCGCCTGAGCAGAATAAATGAGACTGTAATCTTTCCTGTCCACAAACTTTAGTGCAAGATACATTAGAGATACTTTACAATAACTGAGCATGCCACTTCCTTCATATAAAATAATACATTACTGCTCACGGAAGTCTGTCAATGCAGTTCTGGCTTCTGAAATTGTCACAAAGCGTTATACGGAATGGAGTTTAAAAACGGAGCAACAATAATAATATCCACGCACAAATTAAAGCTGGGACAATTTCACTGAAAACAAATTGCACTTTGCCCAAAGACAAACATAAGATATTTTGTCAGAGGTTGTTTTCAATATAAAATCAGCATTACCTGAGCTCTCTCTGCTTCCTGCAGACTTGAGCTTTGGCATTCCTCCTGCAAATAATCCACCTAAACTTGAAGGACCACCACCACCACCTCCTCCACCTCCTCCTCGGCCACCTCCACCACCTCCTCGGCCACCTCCACCTCCTTTCGGTCCTGTTAAGGACATAAGTACAATTAATGCACTGTTGCTAGAATAGTTCACAGATGTATCCATACTGTTTCCATCACTAACTACAACAATATGATGGGGAGGCACAGAAATTGCACACACGTCTCAATTATGGGAGAAATGTTACACCACCAAGTCATACATTTCTCAGGTCAGCACAGCCCCCAAATTACATTATTCTTTCAGAAATAGCTACACTTGACCCAGAAAATGAAAAGAATGGTTTCGCTCACCCGTTTGATATGAAAACAATGTTTTTGATCACATTACATCATAAAAAAGGGTTTCAGAACCCAGATGGCTGGTTGGACAGGGATAAAAAAACATTTAACAAGGAATTCAAGCAGTATATCACTGCTACACTTCCTGGGATAGTGTAACAACATGTTTTCAGACAATTTTTCTGATGAAGCTTCACAAGCATTAGATTGTTGGAGCTTTCTATTTAATATTAGTCAAACTGTACAGACGGTTACACAGACTGAGTATTCTAATATTCCACTTCCCAACATTATGGTGTAAAAAAAAGGCGCAGTTTGTTTCACTGTTCTCCATGGTACAGAGGGAGAAAGGAGAGAGGAAACATTAAAAAAGGAAATTCATGCCATACGAACTCAAATATGGAAGTACTGTGCAGGTTTTAAGTGTTTTCAATTTCACTCTTTTCTCTGAGTTAACTGGAACCAATTTCCTTTCAATTTGGCAGCATTAGAACGAGGTAAATATCGTGAAATGATATAATGTCCTAAGACAACCAACAGATTTCACCTGAAAAGGGTTAAATGACTTAGTTAGTGGGTTCCATTATGCAATAACAGGTTTCTGGGAGAAACAGAAATTATTACATGTTTACTGTATATCATATTCAGTATAATGTATGGAAATGAACTAATTTAACGTACAGGCTGTGAGTTATAATACTGATAACCCAGTGTAATTTCCTAAAAATCCCAAAATATTAGTTCCTCTGTAAAGGTTAAGTAAAAGCTTATTTCTCTTCCAAATGAAAAAAAACATACCATCTAAGATTGGCGAACTTCGATCATGTGTGACGGTTTTCTTCAGAAGTTTTCCCTTGCCTATGTCTGCCAGAAGAGCACCTCTTCCCACTTCCTCAGACTTGTTTAACTTAGGCTTTTCTGTGTTCGCCTTTGTTTTATGGAGGAAGATAAAGAAAAGGAGGAACCATTACTTATTCAATGAGACACTTGCCTCGAGATCCTAAATGTTGTTGGAAGCATTCTGATTAAAAACACTAGGAAGCACAAGTCTTTCATCCTGTCAAGCCCACACCCAACACAGACAGCTGAACCCAGTATATCCAAAACAATGCTGGACAGACGATCAGGTATTGTTTTATTGGAATTAATCAATATATAATCAGCCACTTCTGTTGGGGAGCCCGACAACAAAAGACAGGGAGTAATAAGGATAGCACAGAAAATAAAATTCAAGAGCTTGACTTTACAAATGTTGAATTAAAATTCAAAGGGTAAAGGGAAGAGGGAAAATAATTTCATAGGCTTAGATAGTAATGAAGTTGCTCCTGATAATGCACCTACATTGCTGTAATCAAACAAACTTTAAGAATAATAATTTGCTCATTCAATCCGCGACTGTTTGTGGGACGCTGCTGTGCGCAATTGGCTGCTGCGTTTTGCCCACAAAATATACAGTCAATTCACTTTACAGTATATTCTGTGAAGCGCTTTGAGACGTCTCAAAGACATGATAAGGCGCTGTATCAAATGCAAGGATTATTACTGTTGTTTTATTTCAGCTCACAGTGCAGGCACTAAACCAGTCAGCTCGGGTCTCATATTTGTTAAAAAAAATCAACTAGAACATGTGCAACATTAACAAAACCTTATTGAAAATAATGAGAAATGAGCTACATTAAACCTTGCAGGGCTGCAGGATCAAGGCAGGATTGCTATGTGGCGTTCTCCCACTGGGTTTACACATCTTTCACTTCCACTTTCTGATTAATTTATGCATCGACCGGATGATTCAACCATGGACATTTTCAGCGTCTGCCCCTTCGCAACAACTGTAAAAGCAGCTTGTAAAGTGAGTTGAAAGCTACTGAAATAAATAAATATCAACCATTTTACTGGCCTCATAGTTATCCTCCATTTCCTATGCTGTCTGCCTGTCTCGCATACACTGATCGGTCACAACAGCAACACAACTGCAAAACCACCGATGATTTCCCTTGTACAGCCAAGCCTTATATGGAAATGCTACCAACAAGTAAACTAGCACTAGAAATTTAGTTCTTCATTTGGGTTTGTAAGCTGAATCCCTTAACCCTGCAAAGTCTCAGCTACAAATGGCATGTTTAGAAGTTACTTTGAACTCCTGCTGAACTTCATTTTTTCAAGTGGAAGGGTTATGCTTAACGCCACATGTGCTCCAGGACGCTACCCCACATGAAGGACGTATAATAAATGCAAGTTGTTGTTGATTCACCTGACTAAGTAAACAGAGAATAGCCATCCAATGTACAAGTTGTACAAATGCAATAGTTTTCGGTGTATATATATATATATACACATACACACAAACATACATACACACCAGGTGCTAAAAGTCCAGCAATCAATCAACTAATAAGATTAACCTAAGGGAGACTTGAGTTTGTTGTTTGATATCCAGGAAAAACAAATGAGCATCAGCTTGCAGAACCTTAACTTACAGAAAACATACATACAAACACAAACAGTATATCACGTCCATTAAAATTTGAGTATTGAAATTGAAAGAAAAAAAATAACCATTACACCAAGGCTCTTTCAATGCTGCAGTGAGTTTGTCCAGTAAATAATTGAGCTACAGTCCAACCTGTCTTCAACAATTACTCAAGTGACTGGGCCAAAGTGGCCTTTATACAAGGATCTGACCTTTGAGTAATGGTTTGTTGGTGTGCGACCTGGACTGTTCCAGGATGGTTGTTACCAGGGTCGGGGGGAGGTGCTGAATGGAGTGGTTACTTGAACAGGTTTGACTGTATATGGACAGGAGAGGCTCAGGTTCAATTATCCAGTCTATATGGAGTCACTGGATCTCTTCAGTGAAACACTCAGGATTCTACAATAGATCTCAGTTAGGGAGGGAAAGTCAGGCTGGGATCCCACTATTAATCACTAACTAACAGGCCCATTACACGTCTGTTGTCTGTTTGTCTGATACACACACACTGATGTTGAAGCAGCACTTTCCAAAGGCTGCCCCAATATACTGAACACCAGCCTCTCCATTGCATGGAGCTCTTTGAAGCATGAAGATGTACAGACTAACCTCTGTATGGGTTAGTGCAATAAGATACACGTGCAAATAAACCTAGCAAAGATTCAATCTCAGTATCAAAGTGACCATAGAGGGAAGTTGGGGAAAGGAAGAAAGAATAAGTTAAAAAGAAACATTTCAGCATCCTGAAAAAAAGGTGTTACTGTAAAGCATAAATTACATTTCTCGAGCAAACTCTGTAGTGAAACCAATTATTATTAATATTACAGTTACTCAGGTATAAATTGGATCTGACACCCAAATGTGTAAAAGACACATTAAATATATGTCTGGGATAAATGAAAGTAATTATGCTCTATGTACAGATATTGTCCAACTTCATGAAAATAAAGCTACAATGTTTTGTTGTATCTGAGGTTAGTTGGTTAACTCATTAGTTTTCTTATCTCGAAACACATGAATATCTACCAACGTTTTCAGGTAAATTAATCAGAGACTTTATTTCCCCAAATGTTCTGCTTGCAAATATTGTATATTGTGATTGTTATTGCAAACACGAGAGCAATGATCAGTTTGTGAATCCTTACCACAGAAAATGTTGGGGGAGGAGGGGGTGCGGGCGGTGGAGGAGGAGGCATCTTCTCTGGTCAGTGCTGTGTGTCGTCACCTTTCAGATTTCTTCTGCAAGAAAAAAAGCGATTCATTTAGAAAATTAAGTTTTGGGGGATGTTTTAAAGGAGAACGAAATTCTGTGACGTGAGATGCACTAAATCACTTGAAACTCTAGAAATTTACAGCACAGGAGGCAGTTCCTCTGTCTTTTTCAAAGCCTGTTGTCAGTACCCACCCTCTGCCTCTATCAAGACAGTTGAAAGTTACTATTTGTGGAGTTTTTAAAAACTCTTAACCAATTTTCTCCCTCTTCGGCGCATTGCGTCTGTGCTGGCTCTTGGACAAGAGCAATCCATTACCCGCCCTCTTTCCCCATACCCCTGCAATTGATTCCTTTTACAACTCTATCTAGTTCCCTCTCGAAAGCTAAGATTGATCATGTCCCAACCACCACACCCAGTAGGGCATTCCGCATCCTAACAACTCCCTGTGTGTGTTTTTTTTTAAAAATCCTCTTAATCTCCCACTCTGGCCCCTTGCTAATTATCTTTAATTGATTCACCTTGGAGGTGAGCTGGTTCCAAGGTGATATGCTTGGTAACAGAATGTCATTGGCACTGCTAATGACAAGACCAGTCATTAGGAGCTGATGTGGGAGTAGGGATTCTTCCCATTCAGCTCCTGTTAGCCCTGCAAGCAAAAGCCCCGAAAGGTAGGATTATCCTAACAACTTGCCAGACAATTGTCTTGATGGCAAGCTATGTGGTTTCAGTTAGTAAACTAGGACAACACACAATCTGGCGTCCCCAAGACTTGGCTATTGCCAACCTCCATCTGATAAACTCCAGAATTAGTTAAATGGATTAGTTACTCCATGAAATGTGTGCATTCCATCCCAGGCACAGGCCAATTTCCATGTGTAAGTGGCATATATATATATATAATAATAATCCCGGCATTTGATATAGACCCTCATCATATCGTTGAGACATCTCAAAGCACTGCACAGAGTATATTATAAAGTGAATTGACTATCTTGTGGGTGAAACACAGCAGCCAATTGTACACATACATATGTGTAATGCTGTCTGTTTTGGATAGTCTCAATTATGGAAATTTTATTGGTGGAATGGAAAAAAGCACAACTCATTGTTACTCCATCCCACAGTAACAAACTCTGAAACACAAAATTTTTTTAAAAAAAGTTTTTTTTTTAAAATCAATATAAATTAATCAGAATTCATGCCCTCCAGAGAACACACCACATTTTTGTAACATATTCCTAAAAATACTAATTTGCATTAAAATTTTGACTGCTCCAGATTACAAAGCCTTGCAGTTCCTCCTTACAGATGCTTCAGGAAAGATTATAATATTATAACATCTTTCAATTCATGGAAGATTAAATTCCATTAAAATGAACAGCGTTTTAATCTGTCAATAAGGAGATTGTCTCCTATCGTGACGGTCTTAATTAAGTCACCTGTGGTAACAGTCACTGGAGGAGGTAGAACACACCTCTCACAAGATAACAAGATGATGAAAACATGGATGAGGGAGTGAGTGCAATTAAACAATATATAATTTCATTTGGGCAGTTAGATTTAAATAAATTAAGTTTGCTCTTACAGTGTTTGGTATTATAACCTTGTTCCTTTCCATTATTGAATATAATAATCTGCAGTGTATAAAGTAAGTCATTCGTCATCAGTTCGCAAACAGAGAGTTAAACCCAACATCACTGTAGTTCAATACACATGGCAATAGAGTTCTAAAGGCTCAAACAGCACAACTACCTGTAGAACTATTTTCACCTCCACTTCTATCAACATCAAAATAGAAAGCCACTCACTTTTTTTGTGTTAAAATGGACTTTCAAGCCGGCAGTGTTTAAATGACAACATAATCTTGCTTCATTATTGCCACTTATGACAATAATGAAGTGTTCTTCTGAAAATGCAGTGTTCTACTGCAATACATCCAATCTGCCTCTACTAGGAAAGCAGGTGGGAAAACTTGTCCTAAACCAACACTGCACCAACTCTGAAACTCTGTTGTTTTGTTGCATTTATGCCTTGGTAAATCTGAATTTGAAAGGTGGTTCATAAGAGCATAACTCACTCTGACTCAATATGGTTCGAAACTAAAAAAATAAAAATGTTCTACACAGAAGGAACTTTCAATGACCACTAAGGCACTGGGCAATATAAAAGTAGAATTGACATTTTATTGACTTCAGCAGCTCCTGGTTTTGGGAAGGGAGAAAGGCAAAGGAATTCAACCTTCCTCCCACTTCCAATTTCTACTCAGAGACCCTGCTACAAATTGCATGTATGTGAGGATAAGATTGGGCTCAAACTGGGATGACTGACACAGTTCAATAGTGATGAAAGCTCATACATCAATAGCAACTTGGGTAGAGTAATGGAGGGTAGTAACCGGGGGGGGGAATTAAAGGTAGGAGAAAGGAGAAAACCTTTCCCCCCCACACAAGGGGGAAAAGGTACAAATAATATGTTGTCATTTAAACACTGAAGACTTGTTGCATTCTTGAAACTCAAGATTGGTCAGCCTTCCTTCCTTCCCAATAAAGATTAATGAAGTGTTATAAAAAGGGTCTTACTTACAGTTTCCCTGGTTTACAAAAAAATGCACACAATATAATTGGCTCCATCTTGTCACAGAGTTTGCAACAGTGCTGAAGTACAGCACTTCATTAAAAACATCTTAATGTGTTTGAACATACAGCTTATCTGAAGGAACTGAAACTCAAAGCCGAGAGCAACAGATGCTAAAAACACGCTGACATATATAATCTACTGCAGCTCCATTTGCAGTGGAACACGGGCTCAAAACAAAAGCTTGTGTTGTGGTTTACACACTACAAAAGATGCTCGAGAAGGAACTCATCTGCCTCTATCTACCTCTCAGATACCAACCACCCTTATCTTATTGATCAGCTGCTAGGAAACGAGCTGAATTGTATCATACACCAATGCCACACAAAATAATGTCACATTAGAAAAAAATCTGACTCTCATCTAAACATATAAAGGAAATTGACCAAGATATTTCATTACCACAAGCAGCCATATGAACTTTTGTCATGTATTTTTTGGAACTAAAAATTACTGCACACAGCAAACACTTCGAGCTTAGTTAGGCCTCTAGTTTCCTGTTGAAGTGGTCAACAGGAAGAGCACTGCTTCTCACACACCACAACCATCCTGCCTTTTTCTGTGGTACCACTTTGCAGCTGTAGCTAGTTCCATGTAATAATCTCTTAACAGGGTTTTGCTCATTCCTTGCAGTAAACTTCCAACAGAGGGTTTAACTAACAACTGAAAATAAAATCCAAAGCATATTCCACAGACCTTCATGATATCTTTTGTAGAATCATCATTTCTATATATTTTGTTCCCCATTTTTAAAATTGGTTGGAAAATGGGAGTTGTTTTGAGGTTTTACTGAACTCTTTGGCGCGCAGATGCAACGACCTGATCAATCTAATCATGCCGCTTACTACCTAGCTTTTGCATTAGGTGTTCCTATTAAATGATGCTCCATCCGAATTAAAGCTCAGGCTACTTGTAAATGTCTCCCCCCCGAAAATTTCCATCCATCAACACCAGAAGAAGCTTCACTCGGAGTCAGATACATGAGCATTTGCCAAACTCTCCTACACACCTTAACTCAAGTGGCCAGAGTGTGCAGTGGGGATTATTATAGCTGAGCCCAATCCTGCCCACACATGTACATCCATCCATCCCATCGCTGAGAATTCACTGACCTGACAATTCCCTTCCATCTTGAAAAAATATTTGAACGACCATAAAGAATTGTCGGGAGATATTCCACAACAAATCGACATGCAACAATTTTCAGTTTCGAACATCCCGAATCTAAGACAATGGCTTTGACAGTGTAACTTAAGTTTCAATAAGAATACAAGGAAAAATATTAACCAATTCAAGGACGTCACCATATAATAGGCAAATCACAAGATAACGGAATGTTATTTGGAAAGACAGGACTGCTAAACTGTTGCGGTTTCAGCTTTATTTCAAAGCAAAGGGAATCCGCCAGAATACAACACTTCCTCTTTAAATAATGCATCATTCATCAGAACCTGCGTGGTTTGCTGAATGTAGCACTACGTCATTGTGAAGTTCGTCACACAGGGCTTTACTGGCTACAGCAGTTTGCAAATTTGAAATGTCATGCAGAAAGAATCTTTGAAAAAAAAACGGCACTACAAATGCAACTTCTGGAAAATCATTACGGAAAATAAACTGAAATAGAGCTCCAGATGTCAAGTGTTTGCAGTCGTTGCTCCGAGCCAACCACAATGAGTCATTGTGCAAGATATTTGGTGAAAAATAAAGGCAATTGCAAACGATCCAGCAGGTTTCACATTTAAATGGACAGTATTAACAACAATGCTAAAAGGAGCACTCTTCTAGCACTAGACAGGATGAATTCTATTAGCACATACTATAATGATTTTATTCCTTTGGTTCCACTGGCTTTTTACTGATAAGGTACGAACATTGACACAAACATTTTCAAACTACTGTATAAATCAGAACAACTGAACAAGGTGGCAAGATGTATAAAGTAACAATTTGGTTTACACATTTGCTTATTAATGCATTTGTTTTACAGCCAAAACATTCTTCTGCAATTTGATTAAACGCTTAAATCCTCTTTCAAATAGTCAATATTTTGAGAAAAGCTCAGAAAGCCAGGGATATACTTTTTAAAGAAAAGCTCACAAAAATCTTTCAACTTAGACATTTGAAAAATGAGTTCAGAAAAGTGAAGAGGATTTGGGATGGTTGAATTTAGGAAGGAATTGTCTAGGTGGTGTAAATCTAACAAATCTAATAGCAGATCTAGAAGGGAGTTTAGGAGGAACTTCTTTATGCAAAGGTGATGAGCAAATCCATCTCACTGCTGCAAACTAACCGGAAGCAAAAAAGCATCAAGATTTATTTTTTGGATCAGCTGAGTGTCTGACACATGTTCAAAATCCCAAACACGCTTAAGAGTATCCAAACCAACCAAAA